CATGTAGCTACAGAATGTAGGCAAGGTACAATCTAGTTCCAACATCAGGTTCCGGATTCAGTTTGCCCTCTTTGGTGTTCCACCCCCTCCAGAAATTTCCATGGAATTCAGGAGTTTATTGGGGATTCCAAGACTGCTCTGCCTGTGCTCCTTGGGTGGTTCTGCAAGAACATTGCTACTCAGAAGCCCTTCCCCCAAGTGGCTCTCTTTCTGAGAACAAGGGCACTCAATAAAGCCTACATAGCCTCCAAGATGATGGAAGCCTTGAAGTGGCATTATATCTTCATCAAGCATCATGGGGCACTTTCCTTCACCAAACTCACATTTTGTTATGCAATTTACACATAAGCACACCCAAGATCTAGTCCTTCTACTGATAGGAAACGGTAGTAGTACCTCGTATACATCATCAATTCAAGCTGTGACAACAGAGTTTCAGGCTAGATGTCAGGAAAGGTTTCCTCACTGTCAGACAGTGAAACCAATTGCCTAGAGAAGCCATGGGCTCTCCCACACCAGAGACATTCAAAAAGAAATTGGACATTCATCTGAGCAGGGTGTAAATTGGTGTCCTGAAACAGCAGGGGGTTGGACCAGATGATCAGGGCCCTTTCCAACTCTACTATTCCATGATATCCCCAAATTTCAGTGACCTGCCTTTTACAGTTTTCTATAAACCTGAACAAAGCACAGGCATAAAATATTCCAAAATCTAGGCAATGATGGTCCTGGGGGTTTCCACAATATAAACTTATTGCAGCACAAAATGCTCCATGTTCTTTACTACAGTCTGCTTTAATCTGAGTGCCAGGAAGAGGAGTTGTTTGTTTATACTTCTATGCTGCCCCATAACCTGAGGGTACTCTGGGCAGATTACAATATGCTGAACCAGAATATAAAAGTACAATCAATAAAACAGATAAAAACAATCAAACTGATAAACTGTTATACAAAGTGATACAAAATAGAAGATAATAAAGGATCATACTCAAAATATAAACCAAGTACAACTAAATAATTAAAAACAGAGCCAAACAATTAAATAAATCAGTAACAAAGCACAAAATAAATGAATCAAATGCCTGTTCAATAAGAGAGTTTATCCCTAAAGAGAGCAAGGTCAGTGCCAGCTATATTTCTGGAAAGCCTAAATCCTTCCCTCACCCAAAACATGATAATCTGACATCTTAAAATCTGAAATCAGTGCTATGCTCATTGAAAGCTGAGGCAGGGAAGAGTTAGTCAAACAATGGATTTCATTAGCCACCCCAGAGACAGTTTTAACCCCAAAACACTAATATTTAAAGTTATTTATGTTTTTCTTCCCAGTTCACAAGTTTGTGTTAGTATCCTGACTCTTTCATTCAAAAACATTGTTTTATTCTTTCTAGCTGAAAATAAAAATACTTCATGTTTGACAATAAGAAATGTTGGTTACTGTATCTGCAAAAATGGGTGGTGGTAAGGTGTATTCTGTCCTGTGTGTTTTCTGGATCTGGCAGTTTGGGTATTTTAGATAGCATGATGGCGGGGGGGAGGCATTTGGGGACATTTTATAGCTACTAAATATATTGTAATGTGAGTTTAGAGTATTTTTGCACAATTTGTTAGATTCTTCTAGTGATGAGCAAGTAAAGGAAAGTTCCATTTTTGCCCCACCTTGTTGAGGACCGTATGTTGCCATGGTTACTTTTCTTCAGAACTGGACCACACATGCATGCATTATAGGAAAGAACTGGAGAAAACTTTATATGGCAAAAAATGATTTAGATTCATTCAGGAAGCTATCAGATGTTGAACAAAAAACTCAAACAAGATCACTTCATTGAATTTTTTTAAAAATTCCAACCTTTATTGACATGTAAACAAAAGTTCATATTTTCCATGCCAGACACCAACAGCTGAAGTCAGTTCAGAGTCTTGGGTCCTTTGATTAGAAAGGGTAGTGGAGAAAGAGACTGAATAGGGCCAAGCCTCAAGAAGGGATTCTGTCAAGTTGCCAAAAGGTAAAAAGGTAAAAGGGGTGTGCTAGGAGTTCTCCACAGCAGAACAGATGTTAAGTCTGCTGTGTGCTATGGAGCACAATGGCCCAGAATAAGAACCCCCTCAGAGCAAAAGTATTACTGTTCATGTCCAGTCTTCCTCTCCAAGTGGCAGCCCTATTCAGTTTCACTTTTTCTGTCAGAAAAAGTAGTGTGGGGGTATTTGCGTGAGAGAACTGTATGTGCTCTGCAAACTGCCACGCTAGTCACTTGAAGGGTCTGTCACTATACCTAGTTGAATGAATGCTCTGAGAATGGAAATGAGAGGGGACTTTCTAGAAGAGTGATGAAAGAGACATCTCATCTGCCCTTAGCACCTGGTGATCAGAGATATGCTGCCTGTGAATGAGCATCAAGGCTACTGGTTTATATAATACTTGTAAAGTGGAGTGTCATTCAGGTGTCTGGCCTCATAAGGAAGTTACTGTGAAAACAGACTGAGTTAGACACTGGAGGAATTAGCTGTTAAGTTGGTTGACTTAAAAAGAGGATTAGACAAATTCATGGAGGATAGGTCTATCAGCTTTTAAGGAATGGTAAATTAAAAACTGGTTGGGGAGAAGGTAGATAGAAATGTACTGCTGGTTGTCAAAAAGAGTTTTGCAATAGACCACCAAGAGTCTGGCTCCCAATTATAAAACAACAAGGTAAATGGTTCTCCTTGCCTTCTAAATGAAGCTGGTACAGATTTAAGCTTGTGGGGGGAAATAGAGCAGGAATAGATTTATTTATTATTTATTTAAAACATTTCTATGCTGCCCCCATCGCAACAAAGCCTCAGGGTGGCTCACAAAAAACAAAAACAAAAAAACAAAAACAAAAACATTTAAAACCCCCCGGTGCATTCTCAGCTAATTTAAAATCCTAATAAATACAATAATTTAGCAATTAAAATAACATTTAAATAAAAAGGTCTTGGTCTGGTGCCGAAAAACAAATAATGATGGCACCAGGCGGACCTCTCTGGGGAGTGCATTCCATAGGTTGGGTGCCACCCCAGAGAAAGCCCTCCTCCGAGTACGCACCCTCCTAATATCCTTCATGGAGGGTTCCCGGAGAAGGGCATCCATTGCTGATCTCAAGGGGTGGGAGGGCATATATGGGCGCAAGCGTTCCTTTAGATATCCAGGTCCCAAGCCGTTTAGGGCTTTATAGGTCATAACCAACACCTTGAATTGGGCCCGGACTTCAATCGGGAGCCAGTGGAGCTGACGGAAAACTGGGGTTATATGAGAACAATGCCCAGTCCCTGTCAGCAACCTGGCAGCTCTATTCTGCACCAATTGAAGTATCCGGACCATCTTCAAAGGTAGCCCCACGTAGAGCGCGTTACAGAAATCTAATTGGGAAGTTACCAGCGCGTGTGTCACTGTCGCCAGGCAGTGTGCAAATGAACTGTGAGCTCAGTTCTGCAACGGAAAAGAAATCCGTGGGCTAAACATATGAATGTAAGAGGCATGCTGGATCAGACCAAGGGACCAACCTTGTCCAACCTTCTGTTCACACAATGGCCAACCAGCACGCCAAAGTCAGGGCATGAATCCAAGAGTGCTCTCCTATTCAAGTTCATCAGCAACTCATGTGCATAGGTGTACTCCCTTTAATACTAAAAGTAGCATATAGCTATCATGACTATTAACCATCAATGGCCTTGTCCTCCATGAATTCATTCAATTCCCTTTTAAAACCATCCAAATTGGCAGCCATCACTACTTCTACCATTCTTGTTCAATCACATGTTATCATTATGGATGAACCCTGCACTATGGTTTAGCTATAGGTTAACCACAAACAGCACCGAATCCATAACCAAACAACAAACTATGGGTTCTCTTCTGCAACAACACACAACTGAACAACAACCCATGCATAGCCCAAACTCAGGGTTATAAGTTAACCAGGCCACTGTATGTAGGACTTCCTTCTGTCTGTCCTGAATTCCCCACCATTCAACTTCATGAGATGACCTTGAGTTCTAATATTATGCGAGGGGTAGAAAAATGTCTCTTTAACCACTTTCCCTACACCATTCATAGTCTGGTATACTTTTCAAAGGTTCTTTTGATGTTTAATCCTTCACTCAAGCCACTATTTGCACCTGGCTTTAGCTGACTTCTAACTTCTGACTTCATCCCTGACTCAAAATGTCAAAAGTGTGCCCCCAAGTCCCAGATGCTGAGGACACATTAACAGTAGGAAATTTATCACCCTCACAATCTGCCTGTGAACTTCTTGGGGGCACCTGGACGGCTAGTTAGAAGCCAGAAGATGGCCTGCATTCTAGTTGTGCCCATGTTGCCTGATGGCATAACCATGCAAACTCCGTGGGCTTAGCCCTCCTCACACAAGAACAGCCCCCGTGGCCACATGATATGGCTGGCATTCTACCGACATGCGCAGGCTACAAGAGACCATTCAGGAAGTGTCTTGGTACATAAAATAAACATGCTTCAGCTGTGTCTGCCTCTGACTTCTCTCCTCTGTTCTGGACCCCTTTTTATAGCATAGTGCTAGGGAGCAAAATAAACCCTGTTCATTATATGCAGCGGTGGGTAGTGAATTTTGAATTTAGCATTCCAAGGCTCTGAGTTTACATCTAGCAACTCATTTTAGCCTTTATGCCAAGACAGTTTTGAAATCACACTAGTAAAACCTCAGTAGCCAGAGTGGAGAGCCTGAGCAGGAATCAGTGGTCAGAAGGCAGGCTTCAACAAATGGACTCCATCATTTCTTGCTCCTCACAAGAGCGCACCTACCAGTTAAGGAACATCTACATTATGAAAGCTAAGTAACTTTTGGACATAAATCATTAGACAGGTTGCTGCTTTTCCTGACACAGAGTTTCAGCTACTTTGCTCCCATCCCTAATCACACACAACTCTGAAAGAACATACACTTCACTTATCTGGCAAATCATTTTTTTTTCTTTTTGCAGAAAAAAAGAAAAATCATTTTGTAGACTCCTGATACCTTTCTCTTTCTTTCTGTTGCAGGAAAATGCCTTTTCAGCAGGGCACACAAGCCCCAATCTGCTTCCTTGGCTCCTAGTTTCCTCCCTTTCTGTCACCTGAAACCATCCTCTTTCAATTCCAAACCTGTAAATAAAACTCAGAACTTCCTCCAGCTGAGGTTACCACTTATAAACCCTGTAAAAAGTATTCTTGCTTTGGAAGCATGGAGGCAATTATGCTTTTAAACCACCAAAACAATGTCCTTTTTAAACTACTAAGCAGCCCACAAAACAGTCATAGGTGCACAATTATCCCATTCCAAAGGCAAAACATACGACAGACTGAACAACATCCAAATAACCACATATAACAGACTGGGTAGACTACAAAGCTGAGGAAGATGGGAGGGCAGGGCTGGAGCTGCAGAGAAGGGTCCAGAACTTGAATAGCCTAATGAGCTGCTGTTACAATTTGGGGGAGCTGCACAATTGCAGAGGGCTTTACTCAGTACTCTCTCTAGAGAGGCTTGGCCTGGATTCCATAGAGTTTTCTCTGTGGGTAAAGCTGGTTCTATAATTTCAGTGGGGACTGAGGGAGACTGCAATTGCTGTATGCTGGTTATCTGGAGAAAAGAATAATCCACTTCAAAGGGAACAACTTTAGTCCCACACAGAACCCTATTTTGGCTTCTCTGAAAGTTCTGTAAGTACTTCTTGCCTGCTTTCAAAACCATTAGGAGTTAACTGGGAAAGAAGCACTCAAGTGCATCGAGCAAGGTAAGGCTGAGAGCACATGAGATGATTGAAGGGTTCAGATCTGCCTTCTGGGTGATACTTCTCCTGGAATGTCTTTCCAGCAGAGCAGAAACTGGCTCTGGAGATGTTCTTGGTCTTGGGAGACCATTTTAGTGCTGGGAGGGGCGGAAGGCAAAAGGAAGCTGGGCAAATATGCTAAAAGAAACTGCAATGTTTAGCTTGCAGCTCTTACAGACAGAAAAAGAGGCATTTCAACTTTTCTGAATGGGGGGAAAACTGCATGAAAGCCGGGAAAGCACCAAACCCCTGAGAGTCGGGGAAATGGGGCACAGCCAACTAGGGGACTCAGAAGGCCAACTTAGGAGCCAGGTTGGCTGATTTTCTCCTGCTTTTCATTTGTATGCCACCCAATAGCTGAAGCTCTCTGGGCAGTTAACCACAATTGATACAATAAAGTACAAAAATACAAAACAACAAAACAGCATAACATTCCAATATAAAATTTAAAACAGTAATTTAAAAAAACCTGAGCCAACTAGAACAAACTGAGGTGCTTCCCCCAAAGTGGTGTCTCCCACACTGCAGCTCCAGCCTTCCTGATGGGGCCTCTCGGGGTGAGGAGCAGAAGGGATGGCTCACTCTGGGTGGGACGGCACCTTCCCCCAAGGCAGTGCCAGCAAGCAAGAGGTGCAGCATGGCTGCCCCATTTCCAGAGGGGTCTCCCATACCTGAGGCTCACTCGCTAGCAGCTCCACTTAAAATGTATCACATGCTGAGGCTCAGGAAGGCCCCTGTCAGAAACCGCAGACACCTGCAGCTTGTTGAAGCAGATATGGACTAAAGGGCTGACTTGCTGCAATGCAGCTCCATTTGTCCCCCACATTCCCCCCCCCCCCCCCGGTGAACGCTTTAAACAGAACAGCCTGCAGCCATATGAGGCACCTCGGTCATTCACTCAAAATAAGGACAAAGGGTGCCTCAGAAGTAGCTGGGGGCATAATGGAGCAAGAGGAGGAGTAAATGGGCCTTCTTCAAAGGTCTACACTTGTGCTGGGGGCAGGAAAAATGGGGCCTCACTGACACCCCTCCCCCATAGGCCTATCCCTTGCCAAGCCTTGCAAACAAATCCACAAGTGTTCTAGCCTATACACATATCAAAGTTAGCCACTCACAGCAAAAGGATAGTCTGGAGAACAAACCAGCTCTGTCCCATTTCAGAAAAAGCTTTCTGCTGGCTTTTTCTCCAAGACACAAGTTGAGAAGAAACCCTGCAAGACACCTTGGAGAATTAAAGTCTAAACATGTTCTGCCACAGGTTTTCTGTCAGATGCATGATGAAAATGGTGGGAATTTTTGGCTAATGAATCAAATGTTTCCCCTAAAAGAACCGTTTCCTCTTTAAAATTGAGGCTACCAGCCTGGACACTGCTAAAGCAGTGGGTTCCATTTCAGAGCAAGTAGATTTTGAAGCCCAACGAAACCAGTTCACCAGGGACAGCCATGAGATACGGATGCCCCACAGGCACCAAGTCGCTTCTCACCCCACCTTCCACTCCCCAGAATAAAACTACTGTCTGATTTCAGTCTAAGGAATAAAATATCATACAAGGAAGAGAAAGCCAAATGGTGCCTAAGGCAGACAAGCCAAATGGCACACTCACCCACTCCAAACACTTTTAAGTATTAACCACTTAAGTAATTTGATAGTTGCCTTTAATGGTACTCTGCGCTACTTCCCCCTTCTTAATAGTAGATGCTGCCCTGATTCTGTCAGGTTACTTTAGTTGCCAGAACAACATTTACAAGAAAAGCCTTCTGGAACTAAGTGGTAATTCACAGGAGGCCAGTAGCTTACCATTGCCTTCCCTGCGTCTATGACCGGCAGGCAAAACCAAACATTGGCTAAGGAGCCCAAGGCAGATCTATGTGGCAACTGAATGCAGTTCATGGTGTTTGTGAAACTGTACATTGCGTTTCACTTAGAACACCAAGAATTTGCTCACTGTAAACTTTGACCACTTTGGAGCTGAAGCACAAATCAATAAATAATTTGAAGTTAAAGAAAATGCTAAAAAGGAAGATTTTATCTTCTAAAAACGTAACCAAATTCCTTTGCTTAAAAAAATGAAGCAACCCCTCCCCCACGACAAAACTCACCACACACTCCCAGCACTATATAAATTAACCCATGTTCTTACAGGTTTTACCCATAAAGCTTATAAAAAAGGAAGGGGATGAATAAATTGGATGTAAAATCAAATCTCGTTGCTATAAAGAACTCAAGACACAAGTGGAGGCCCAGTGGTTGGGGAGACACAGCAGAGACCGGCGATCAATGGCTGTTGTCAGAGCGATTCAGGGAGCTGGCAGTGGATGGGGCAGGGTGTGGGGACAGCGAGAGAGAGAGAGAGAGAGAGGGAGGGAGGGAGGGAGGGAGGGGTATAAAAACAAAAAAGAAAGACAGACAGATTAGATTTCTGAAGGACTGAAAGAAAAGCATCAATTTAAAAATACTAAAGGTAACATATCTCTTCTTTGAGCAATGATGCTTATAAAGAAATGGTACACTGGAAATGATTCCACGCTTTGAAGCTGGATTAATGCTATACTGCATTAATATCAGTGTGAATCAGTGTGAATTACAGAATGTATGACAGAGCAGGAAGGAGATTCAAAAACTAAACAATAAGGGCTAGAACCAACACCACTAAAACAAGAGACATGAGCTTCTGGTGCAATTAAACATAGACTATGCGTGAATTGATGTGTTTTGGAAGGGGGTTTCCATGGGCTCCTACATTTTAACTGTCTTTGAGAAGGAAGACCAATTCAGTAAACCAGTTCCTGTGCTCCTAGGTGGAGAAGCCATCTAGGTCAGTCTTCCCAAACCTGGTGACCTTCAGAGGCATTTGGACCACAACTCCCAGAATTCCCATCCAGCAAGGCCATAGACTAGGAATTCTGGGTGTTACAGTCCAAATGTGTCTAGAAGGCACAAGGTTGAGGAAGGCTGATCTAGACAATCTGTCTTCTGCTATAGACATGTCTTTACAACAGGGTGCTGTGGTTAGATGCCCAATTATTATTTATTTCTGTGAGCCATCCCGAAGCTATATAGCAAGGGGATGGCATACAAAAATTAATTAATTAATTATCAGACTGGATCCAAAATGAGCAGAAGTCTGCTCTTACAGTGGGACTTCCACTAAATTGTGGGATTGCCCCATCCTCTCTTCTCCTTGCAGTTTTCCTTGAGTGTTCCCCAATCCTCCAGAAAAGACTCTGTAGCGTGCAAGGGGCTGCAGAATGGAGGAAATCCCTTCTGCCAGAAGGAGTGAACTGCTGGTGGAACAGCACACTGGAGTATGACCTTTGGTGTGGTTATGCCACTCCTAAGAACAATTCCCAAAGAGAGGTTCTAGAGAGAAAGAGGGAGAAACATGAATGTGCAGCCAGGCACCAGAGAATGCTAAATCCTTCTGCTGATATTCTGATTCACTGCTGCTTTCCTCTTTGAAACTGACCCAGGCAGGCAAGAAAGGTGCCTGCTTTGGGCAAGAGAGAACAGCTTCAGGGACAGGTTGTAGAGGAAGGGTTAAACAACACCTAATCCCTGCTCCCTCTGTCACTTGACAAACTTGGGGTTGAAAATTTGTATCTGTCAATGTAATGTGCAGTTCCAGCCTGAAAACTGCATGGGGCTTCCAGAATTCCTAATACCCTCCCCAACACCAGGAACTACCTTCTAGTTTCAAGATCTGTGCCTCTCATTCTTCTCCCCTGGGTGTCTAGAATGATATAAATGAGGCATATTCTACAGATGTAATCCAAATACTTCCTACATGGGCTCAATCTACTTCCCTACATGTTCATGATTTTAGAATAGGGAAGCTGCTCCTGGTAGGATTCTCTTAGAAGCACACTCTCAGCATTTCTGCTATTATTACTTCTGCCATGTAAATGGAAACATGCACAGGAAAATAAGGGTGGCCTGCACTCAAGGAGCTCAAAAGGATTATCACGAAAGGCAACAGAGTGAGAGCACATTAACAAAGCTTGGGTAAGAGCAATGGCAGTTCAGGAACAAGCAGTTGTCAAAAGCTGTGTAGGAAAGATGGCCTCTGAGGATTTTTTTTTTTAAAGGTAGTGCGCCAGAGAGGTAGGCGAGGGAGGGAGCACCAGATATCAAGGCCAGGAAGAGTCTGGGCAGAGGCATTTCATTTAGAAGAGCAGGGGATGTAGAGTTGGAGGAATAAAGCACATATGGAGACAGAATGACCAGTTGAATCCCACTTGTCCCAACGGCCATCTCAATTGACTGATGAGGTTCAGGTCAGGATACCAAGTGTTATTGTAACGGGCAGGGGCGGGGAGCTCTAGATTCCCTTCTGGATAGCACAACATTGTGGCTGGACAAGAAATTAGGCTTCATGTGTAACGAAATTTACTCCACCTTTGTTAGGAAGGTTGCCAGTTGCAAGGGCAGCTTTCAGATTCCCAGAAACCTCCAAAAAAGAATCCTCTGACATGAAGGGCTGGTTGTATGCCTCAATTTCACAGGAAAGCAACAAAAGCTCTGAATGTGGTACTAAGCACAGAATTTAGCTTCCCGAGAATATCTCAGCTCTTATTTATCTGTTCGTTAAAGACTTTAGCCATTACAATGTGAAGATATGCTTGACAGTGCCCAGTGAAGCCTCAAGAAAGAGGAAAAATGGCTCGATAATGATTTCATTAATTTAAAGGAGCGAAAACTCAGTGCCCTGCCTGGCTCTTCACCTTTCCTTCCATCCAGAATGAATTATCCAAAATTATACCAATCGGGTCATTTTGAATAATTTACTCAAGCTTCAGAAATGAATTTTTCTAATGAAGAATTTTGATTTCCCGGATGCCAAATTTCCATCTAGTGTGATGTACTCAAAGCCAGGCTAATTAGCCTCCCGTAGGGAAAAGAGATTCTATGGAAATCAAATGCTTGTCAGGAAGGTGGCTCAGTGACCCTTACGGGTTCCCAAGCCGGTGTGCACCAAGTGCACCCACTCACACAAAACGAAAGCATCCTTTCCCCCCATATCATACCTGGTCCTTCTCCTCTGTGAAATTGGGTCTCCAGGCTCCCCATTCATCAGATGGTGGGCAGCTGAGTGCGGGGGGCAGAGGCGCAGGTTCCTCAGCAGCTCCTGCTCATTGAGGAAAGGCTTGAGGCAGCCCCGCACTGGGGAGTTCCCCACACTGCTAGAGCGAGTCAGCGAGCGAGACTGGTTGAAAGGCCACGGGGGTTCAACTTCTTCCTTCAGGACTGCAAGTCGGGGTAAAGAAGGAAAATAATGCATTTTTAAAAGATGCTGAAGATCATCCCCCAGCTCCTAGACCAGCTTTCTCCTATCTAGTGCCCTCAAGAGAGTGAACTCTCATTCTCATCCCTTCTGGCCAGAATGGCCCACTTCCAGAGGGCACCAGGTTGGGGAATACCACTGTAGAGAAAGGGTATTCATTTCTGTTTGGATACGGCTACTCTGGGTCCTTTGAAATACACAGAACCATCACTACCATCTTTGTCTTCCAATGTACTTGCTGCCAGGCCAAGCTCGGAACAGGTGGGAAGCTCGAAACAGCTGTATCCTTGATTCCCAGCAGTTCAACATTTGAAACTTGTTCCCCTGATATGTTCCCCTGATATCCCTGCTTGGGAGCAGTTTAGAACTAGCATATTCTAAACGTGATGGCAAAAACTGGGAGCCTCTAGCTTATTTATTAAAAGCAAACTTTTTGCTGATTCAGATTCTTAAAATATGGAAGGACGGCTGAGCCAAGGAATGGATTTAGATTCATTTTGACTGAAGACCATCTCAATGTTCAGATTAGCTCTTCTCATACAGTTCAGCCTCTCTTAAAACCAAGCAGCTCCCTTACCCTAAGTAGACCCACATGACCTATGTGGACTGAGTATCTCAGAACCAGGAAGACATCTTGTGTCTCTTTCTCGGCCTCATGTCATCAGCCAGCTCAGCCAAACCAAGCCAAGGAGAATGGAAGTTCAAGTGGGACCTTCCATCTCTCCCCCAACCCCAGCATGAATACAGTTGCATTTCCCAACTTTGTAAAAACAACTCCCTGCCATTGATTAGCCTGAGTCTAAAAGCGAATTGCTCAGGCCCATTTCCCAAACTAGTACTGGTAAGAAGCATCACTCATAACATTCTTACATTCTCGGTCTGATAAGGAATATGGTTTTATCTCCCCCTCATGACGCTTTGGAGGCAGCTTTCTCACTGGTGCTGTGGGGAAAGAAAAAGCAAGATGATTAAGCTTTTGAAAGAAAGGGAAAAAAATCAACACCACTTTCTGAAATTGGCATTTTAAGAGCTTAGATATTGAGGACAACCAAAGATCAAGCTGTGAAGAATGACAGTTCTAAATTGTGCAGATAATCAAGAGAACAAAATCAAAGGCTGGTTATTTAGCGAAGCAGAGCATGGTTGACCTGAATAGTTGCCAAGACAAGCAGTAGGAACAATCCCATAATTATTGAAATATTTCAGTGAGCATAACCTCAGCTATACAATTTATTCAGCAAATTTCAAGAGAACAGGAAAACTGTCATTTGACAAAACTCCCCCACTGATCATCTACATTTAGTTATCATAACTGTCAACCAATTTCAAGATATCTGGCAGAAGTTAAATCATATCCAGCGAGATGAGATATATTTATGCTATGATAAATTCACCATGAAGTTATTAAATGCAAAAAAAAAGTAAGCTCATGGGTGGGATGATTTTTAGTATGTTAGCTTATAACTCAGAAGAGCAGTGTGTAGGAGAACTGGTCAAATTATTAACAGCAATTGTCCTTTTTTACTTAAAAAAGAAACTGTAGGTGTTGTCAGGCTCCTTTCTTCAAACTTCCCTTTTCTTTCCTTCTTCTGTTCTGCTTAGTGCAGAAGGGAAATAGGAGGTGCCTCCTAACCTAATTCAGAGCAAAGGGTTTCTCTCAACTTGTTTGCTATAGGATGGAGCAGAATACACTCCAGTGTTCTTGATCTCTGCCTGGTAACAGGCAAAAGTACAGTTAATAGACTGTACCCAATGTTAGTCTTAATTAGGATAGATACTTTGAGATGAATGGGACTTAATTAAGTTGGACGATAATTGGATACAACCCTGTTACTTGTGAGAGAACTCCTGCCTGGGAATGCTATGTGCAGCCAGAAAGCTTGTCAGTCTAACCATGATCACGCAAGCTTCAACAGGAGGTAGCCACTTGTCACTGTGCGTGACAGCTGTCAAAAAGGGGGGAGCCCCAAGCCGTGATTATATGGAAAGGAACCAGAACTAAATTGCCAAAATAGCAATGTTGGTGTGACTACAATGAAAAGCTATGTGAGGTTCTGGTGGTTGCACCTTAGAAAGGATATTGTAGGCCTGGAAAAGTGCAAGAAAAGGCAACAAAGATGACGGAGGGCTACAGCAAGCCCCTAGAAAGAAAAACTCACAATATGTATTGGTTTAGTTTTAAAATAAGCAACCCCCCCCCCATATAATATTGTGAGGTGCATAGTAAATGGACAGAGAGAAGTGTTTCTGCTTCCACCATTCTAGAATCTGGGCTTGTTCAATAAAGCTGGATAGTGGGAAATTTAGGATTCACTGTCACAGTTCTACTATAGTTCTACTTGCTACCACAAGATATGGTGATGGCCACTAACTTAACGCTTTAAAAATTGGTAAATCCAATATATGGAGCGTAAGAGTATCATTGGCTACTAGTCATAATGTCTATATGTTACCTCCACCATGTTTCTGAGCACCAGTTTGTGATCAACCACAGGTGAAGATTCTTGCCTTCATTTCCTGTTTGCGGGCTTCCCATAGACATCTACCTGGCCACTGTGGGAAGCAAGATGCTGGACTGAAAAGGGATTTTGTCTGATCCAACAGAGCTCTTCTTATGTTCATACTTGCCTTTCTTTAAAACACAGACACACACACTCTTAACAAAAATACTATGTGACTTCTTGACCAAGGTGGCATGATCAGGGAGGGAAAATAAGCCAGGGTGGCATGTTTTCCCACCCCATGTGCCAGCAGTGAGCTGCTGAATTAGCACAATTGCCCTCAATAGGCACTGGCTCAGAATCCATCAAGGGCAGGTGTCTGGGGTGATTTACTAGCCACCCTGAAACTCCAGAAAAAGCCATGGGTTTCAGGGTAGATTCTAAATCAGTCCACCCACCCTTGGCAGGCTTGGCTGTCAGGACAACCAGTGTCCAGTGAGAATAATTATGCTGATTAGGCAGCTCACAGCTGGTACATGCATGTTGGGAAAATAAGCTACCAGGGCTTATTTTCCTTCTGTGAGTGTGAAGATCTGCTAAATGAAACTTACCCAATGAAGCCTTCCACTGCTTGAAATGGGGAATGGTCAGGAATTCTAGGAGTTGTCATGGAAAATACCTGGAGGGTCCCAGGTTGGGAAAGGCTGGTTCACTAAAAGCTCACACATCAGAAACATCTAGAAAAGCAGGCAAGCCTCTACATTTGTGTATTCCAGCCCCAACAAGCATCTCATATTCCTTTTATAGACAGGCTGGACAGCTGAAAAGGTAATGTGTAGTCCATCCCACCACTCAAGATCCATACCCCAAAGGCAGAAAAACAAATCTGGGGTCCTCCAGATATTTTATACCACAACTCCCATAAGCCCTGATCAACACGGCCAATGGTAATAGTACTTGTAGTCCAAACCATTATAGGGACACCTGGTTGACTTTGCCTATGCTGGAGCATACTATGCAGAATCACACAACGCCAAGGGATACAACCAGGCAAGGGACATTTATGACCTGACTCACCATGCTGGTGGCTGAAAAAGCCCTGGAAAATCACAAAGTTGTTCACCTGAAAGAAAAAGAAGCAATGCATAAAACCAACAGAACACAAAGAAAGCCATCCTATTCCATATTTTTGCACTCCCTGCAAGTGAGAAAACAGCATGTTACTTTTTTCACAATCTGCAGATTTGCTTCAGCTTTTCACTGGGCAGAATCACACTTTTTAAGGTAGGGGTGAGAAGCAGGCGGCCTCCCAAATGCTGTCACACTGTGCCTTTCATCAGTTAACACTGCCAATGGTCACAAAACAGTGGGAACTGCAGGCCAACCATGCCATGAGGGCCCCTTGTTCTTCATCTGTGTTAGGGGACCAACTACAGCTCAATGGAAGGGCATGTGCTCTTGCTCCATTCTTTGCATTTAGTCCCGAGATCTCGGGAAAGAAAATCTCTCAACAAGAAAGGACACCGCTGCAATACAGACCGGGAACAACGCAGCTCTTTTAGTTTCTGAAATGGAAATTAACACGTAAAACACATACCTTTCCTGTCCTCTTCAAATATTTTAGTCAGGTCCTTTCAACATACTCTGTCAACCCAAGTTCCTATGACAATCCATTTTATGGTGCCATGTATAGCAGCAACAGGTGACTGGCAATATTGTTCTGATTAATTGTCTAAAATGGGTAAGTTATCAATAAGAAATATTGCTGTGTTAAGTAACGATTGCTGGTATTTTGTTTTGCTATTGCAAAACTTAAGTTTTCATTTTGTAAAGTATTTTGTGATCTATCTTATAACATGATATTTTCTCATGTATTGCAAGCTGCTTTTAATGTAAATGTATTATGGGCAAGGAGCATAAAAATAAAGTGATGGCAATTTCTTTTCCTGTTTAGAGTGCCTCTATTTATTTTTCCATCCCTCTCTCCATGAAATAATACTGACTTCTTATGCAAACTTTATACTCTCCACTGTGACGTACACATTCTGCAATCAAAGATGTGATAATGAGAAATGCCCTGGTTCTAACAAGTGTCCAATGTTTTATCTCCCAAAATCTCAGTGCATTTTAAGCACAAGCTCTTCCTCAAGGCATGAAGGCTAGAAAATGCCTGCTGTGTGCCATCTTAGAAAGATAGGGAACCCTGAAGCTTTCTAAATGCCCCTCCTAAGATGGTCTGCCAAGCTTATTAGAACTTGCTGCCAGCTATGTGTATGAATCACTGACCACTCAGAGTCAGTCTGCACAAAATGCCCTAACATCGCATCTGCTCAGAAACTCTTACACAGCTAGAGACCCAGTGAACAGTCACAGCACAAGAAACTCTTCTGCTGCCAAAGTTTGGCCCTGGTTTGGCCCTGTAAACTGCCCAGATGGGAGACCATCACTCAAGTTGCAGCACCTTGGAGGAAGGGTGGGAGACAGCAAGGAGACTATTCTGACTCCCAACACTCCCGGCAGAGCACCCATTAAAGCCCCTGCCGCAGCTATTTCCACCATTTGCAGGGTCACTCACCTCTCACTACATTTACTCCAGTGTCTCCATGGCTGAAAAAAACCAGCACACTTGCATGCAGATTAGCTTGATTAGTTTTTCTCCCCCTTGGGAAGCAGAGATTCAACTTTACCTCAGCTGCCTTAAGTGACAAAGCTGCAGTATGAAGAGAAGTCCTGCTTCATCATCATGAGAATGTCTCACCTGCGGGATGGTGTCACTGAGGCCATAGTGTTTCCGGAGGAAGCACAGGAGTTTCTCTGAGGGACGGTCCACTGCCAGCTGGTGGGGCTCTACTCGCTCTCTCTGAGAAGAAAGGCAGTCGAAGATGTAAACTGAGGACTACAACCTGTCACTCAGAGGCTGAAACTTAAAGAGCTGCCTCTAAATCATCAGTGGCAGGGCCAGGGACGAGGGAAAAGAACTTGGACTGCAGGAGGAAAGGGGTACGGTGCAGAACCCTGACAACAGGTTCTTAGCTTGTGGGGATGTGCCCTCCTCAATCATTAAAGATGCCCTTGCTAGTGAGGGAGGGTATTGTGCAGCAACTGGCTGAAAGAAGATACCAAGCACAGAGACAACACTTCTAATGAGGCCACTTCCCTGGCTCTTTCTCCCTTAACTAGCAAAGGTCTTTGTCTACTAAAAGGTTTATACTGTCTTTCCAACCCCACACCTGCCAAAGGGGACCATTATAACACATGCAAGAAATCCACAAAACAGGAAAAGCAAACAGCGGCAGTTTTCCCACCATTGTGGAGGCTCAATCCCTGTGAACTAGTCAGGCCGTGAAGCAACCCACTGAGTCAGTGCTGACCACCAGAGCCCCTGCAGTTCAAGGGCTCCCGCCAACCCCATCCATAGCAGCCACGCTAAGTGAATGAATCTGCAGCGCTCTCTGCGTGGTTTCACACAGCCTGAGCATTCCAGATGTATTCAGAACAGCTCTGGGAACTGGCACAACAGCCAAATGAGACCAACTCCTCTGGAGAGACTCCCTGGAGAGGCTTTCTTTTATTCCTACTGTCAGGAAAGAAATCTCCCCACTGAGCCAATTCATTAACTGAGGGACTTTGTCTTTCCCATGCAGGGAGTGGCATGGTTTAAACAAGTCAAGCTGCTCCTGGCTTTTACACTCCAGGAAAAGAGAAAGAAAAGAACAGAGAGCAGCACCTGCAACATGTAATGGAAGAGCTCCTTGCCGTAACCATGCCTCTGGAGGGACTCATGAATGTAGAAATCCAGGACACAGAGAGGTTCCACTTCATTGTGTGCTCCATGGCGATCCTGAAAGAAAAGTGGAAGACTGAGCAAGCAGAGACTCGAAGTTGCAGGCCAACCTCTGCTTCCAAAAACAGGAGTTTGAACACTTGCCACCAGATGCTGCTCTCAAGAAATATCACCTGCCTGCCCACAATCCCTCCCTCCCAATGAGAGATACAAATTTACCCAAGGCACATAAGACCATCAAAAACAAAAACGGCTCCTCTGCCTCAGTAGTGCAGCCTGTGTTAAAAAGTATGCCTTCCTTCTACCTTTCATTTCAACATACATTTCAACCACCTTCACGTTTATCATGCACAGACAATTGCTTCTATCAGCATTTCCCTACCACTCAGGTCTCCCCCAGAGTGTCCTGATCTGGATGATCACAGAAATCTATTTCTTAAATCTGAGTTGTTTAAGAGTGTGTGGGAATGAGCAAGTGTGCTGGCTCTTACTGTCGTTGTCTCTGTGATGCAAAAACCCAGGACTCTTGGTTGATGAGAAAGAAACTATCTAGAGTTTTAACTTAACAACAAGCTATGGGTTAAAGCCCTGGCTTGTTTCTCCAACACCACCACCACCACCAAGTTCAAATGTCACCAAAACCACCTTGGAACAGGGCATTCCTGGGTTGTTTAGCAAAGTGGAAATGAATGAGGGCTCAAGAAGGCAGCACACTTGCTTGTTCTAATATGGTCACAACCATCCAGGGTTGCAACAGTTCACAAGTAGTTGTGATGTGTGAACCAGGCCAGTCTCTTGAGCATATTGAGTGCTCATCTCTGGAAAATGATTGACAAGGCCAGCCTTTCCCAGCATAGGCTGGTAAGAGTCCCAACAGATGCAATTAAAAACAAGACGATGATGTTCTGCCTTAAAAGTCTGAGGCAGTGCAGAATTTAACCATTTAGATTTTAAATCAGCCATGGATAGGCACAGATGTCATGCTCAGAAGTCAAAGGTACAAGGATGGATGCAAGAAAGAAGCAGTTAATGGTTAGAACACCCATCCTGCCAACTGGCCCTGAAGCAATGAAGAAACACCTCTCTGCTTCCAGCCCTATTAGAGCACAACCAATAACTGCAGCCCATTATAAATCTGATCCAAGCCGTTTAAGAATAGCTACACTAACAGCAGCAAGCAAACATTGACAGCATAACACACCATGCTACCTATGCTTCTCTCTTTCTACAATCTCCCATTTCAAGGAAACATCCGAGATTTGGACTAGTTTTGTGTTTGGATCTAAAGAAGTGCTTTGCATGCTCTTTGCTGACCCTGCAAAACCCAGCCTACTCACAATGGTTCAGTTTGACAATTTCCTCCTCATTATATAGGGACACATGATTTTTAGCTTTAGAGCTGGTTTGGATGTAACAGGAAACCATGGTTTTCTGCCACATGAGCAAATTCCGGCAAGCCTTGGCTCTCCCACCCTCTCTTCACCTCTTTGACACACAAGAAGAAGAGGTTGAAAGCATCGACTGTCCATTTTAAACTAAACACAGTCCTCTGTTATGCCCAAACTATTGGGGAAGAGCAATTAGTTCAAAATCAAAAGCAGATGATTTTGATCTCTTCCTCTTGCATACGAAGGAGTAAGCAAGGAGACAATCCAGCAGCATGTGCCCATAGAGAGAAAGCACAGTTCCCTGCTACATCTGAACTGAATCTTGCCAGATAACACCCAGGACTGCTCTCTCTCACACCAGGATTCCTCAGGCTTCCTTAGTTCACACGTTTGTGCATGTGTTGGGGGCGGAGGGGGATGTTTGCTTTGTCCTTACTGTCTCCCCTTCCCTGCCACCACCCAACTCTTCTCTCCCAGGCAGTGAGAAGTGGCAGAATGCAATACTGTATTTCTCTTGCTAGAGGTTCAATATTTTGGGCAACTGTCGCATTGTCCTATGGCAAACGGAAAGTACAAGTACAGTTTTGGAAACTGCACTGATTCTTAAGGTTCCACCTCTATGTATGCTGCTAGTCTACAACTCTTATCATCCCCAAGATAGCTAGAGTCCAACATCTGGAGGGCCATGGGTCTCTAGCAGAAGAATGTCCTTAATCAAGTGTGGAAACCAAGCTTCCTGTTGAACCAGAGGTAAGAGCTCTGCATGTAAAAACATTTCTCCAGTGTAACTTACCAGTACAAAGAGTTTCTTGTAACCAACTTTAAGGAAGCCAATTATAATTCCCTTCCCAGTCCTGAGAGAAAAGAAGGAAAAGAAAGGAATAAAACATTACTAAACTATGTTCCCTGCAGCAAGCATAGTCTAGAAATGCCTGGAACTCAGCCAGCCTTCCTCTGCATGGTACTCTTCAGATGCTTGCATCAGCCCAGCCAGGACACTCAATGAGCAGGAATACTGGAAAATGTAGTCCAAAGCATTTGGTGTGCTCGAAGTTGGGGAATGTGGGCTAGGAAATTTTCAGCAAAGCACCTGCTTATTTACAGACCTGAAAGACTGTCAGAATCTGCTATGTGGAATTAAGAGGAGGAACCAAAAACTGCCAGGGCTGTTGTACCATGATCATGTCAGATGGGCTAAATATATGATATGAATCCCTGTAAGTTATTCTTTTACGGAAAACTGTAACAACCCCTAGTGCTCAGTGGCTGATGGGGACACTGTAAAATAAAGTACGACAACCCCTTTCTGAGCACAATGCAGTTTGCTCCTGCCTGGGTTGGGACCTGACATATACATGATGCATTTGTCTTCCTACTGCCGACATTCTTCAACAACTGAAGGAAAACTGAAACAGAAATGAGAGTGATTATCTCCTGTTTCACTTAAGAACATAAGAAGAGCTGGTCTCACCACGGGTGCCACCAAGGGTTCATCTCTGGCACAAGCTTGAAATGAATGCACCAGCACCCTCCTGCCCAAGTCTGTGCCCACAGACTCACTTCCCTCCTTTAGCAAGTAGAATGTTCAATGTATCATTATGATAGAGGTGTACAGAATTATGTATAGTATACAGGAAATGGGCAGAGAGACCCTTTCTTCCCTCTTTGATAATACTAAAATTCAGGGTCATCCCATGAAGCTGACTAGTGATAAAAAGAAATACTTCTTCATATATTGCTAAACTATGGAATCCACAATAGATTGGGATGAACAGAGCATTAAATTAGATGGATCCCTTCCTTGATCCAGCAAGGCTCTTCTTAGGCTGTTCCAAATCAAAGATTTCTCAACTTGAGAAAGAGAGTGAGTGAAGTTGAAGGTGCTACAATGACCTCAGCAAAAGAAAATTAAACTATTGATAGAAGTATCAATTCCTTAGTACATATGCTAAACACAATGTGCTCCTTCAGGTTTGGTCATTTTTGGATAAATAACAACAAACCTAATAAAGAAGTATAATCTATAGTCTTTACAAGTATCTCCGTAAAATAATTTCCACACACAACTTGGAATATGCTTGAATATAACATTTAAACTATATTGGACAGTTAATTTAATGTCCTTATAAGCAAATATTTCAGTTGAAAAATTGTGTAGTTATTGGGAAAAGTTTTGATATATTTAAGTTGGATATAAAATTGACATGGATCATATTTTTAGTTTGATTAATAAATATTTTTGTGTGTACTTATTTTGGGAAACATTTGTTGCAGAGTAAGAATGAGTCAATCAAGTGTGCTAAATATGATAACATTATTTAGAGCATTAGAAAAATTTCCAGTTCTTTTTCCCAGAATGCCCATCTCACTGTAAACTGCATGCAGGGACTATTCACTTGAGGCTAGAGGATGATCAGCTGCAGCAAGAGAAGTCAAAAGTCATGTCCACATACCTTTCCTGACTGCCCCACTCAATTTCTCCTGTAAAAGGGGAAGGATAAACTAAGAAGGCAGCAAATGCTTTCTGTTGCCAGTACCTCAGCTTCTGTATCATTTAACAAACCAACTTCAAAGCTAGGTTTCAAACTCTGGTTTGTCTGGAGACTCCCAAACCAGAAGTCTGGCTTCTGACAGCAACACAAAGCTTTTGCTTCCATCTTGGCTGCTGGTTATTTTAGGCAGTCTCTTTGGCAGAGAAGCCAATTGGAGGAGCACCAATTGATGCACCAATTAGACACCAGAAGTCTTAGCAATAAACAAGGCAAGGCTTTTTAATGAGCTCTTTAAAAAAAGATTTTGCATATGTCACCAAGTACCCTGCAAAGTATTTCTATGGTAACTGTCCCAGGGGTACTGGCCCTCAGCCCCACAGGCCAAAACTGGCCCACACGGGATCACGATCGGGCCCTCTGAGTGAGCCTCATTCCCCAAGCCCCATTCTATTCCCAACCAGTGATTATTTGGTGGGCTTCTGACTCTTCTGTGACCTTCCTCCATTCTAAAAGGTGGAAAGGCATCTTCCGAGGCTTCGTTACTTGTAGCAAGGGCTTTAAGCTAAAATATGCTGCCTTTTTTTATTCCTGCCTGCTACTGCAATGCAGCCCCTCAGATTGAAAGTTCAGCACCCCTGATCTAAATCTCCTTCTGCATGTGATACAAAGCCACAGAACCTTCCCCTGCTGCATTCCAAAATATTTCCACAGAAATGGCTTGGGCTGCAATCCTATATACATGTGTAAATGTCCCTGGAAGTAAGTCCCACTGAACTCAATAGGACCTACATCTGAGTAGTCGTGCATATGAATGCATTGCTAGAAAATCAGCTCCTCCTGCAGACCCACTCACATTTTTGCTTCGCTGTCCTTCAGGATGTACAGAACATGACGGTTGGTTTGCATCCGAGAGGCGCTGGTGATTGGAGTTGGCAGATTCTGGGCCTGAAACCAAAAAGATTCAAGTTTCATCAACTCAACTGGAAAGGCAGATGGGCAAATTGATTTCTGAACTGGAGCTTAGAGAGAAAAGTTCCTCTTATTTCCTTTCCCCCCTTTAGGAAAAATTGTCACTGCATAACTGGGTATCTCCCAGGATTGCAAAACTCATGACTCACAAAACCAAAAAAAGAGTCCCTAATTTATGGCTCTGGTTTACACTAACAATCTGGCACTGGTATACACAGAAGAGTGGTCACACATCTGATAAGTGGTCACACATCAGCTTGGTGGGACTCATATTTTGCGATCCTCATTGATCATTTCTGGAATCCCAGAGTGGCCTCATTTCATTCCTTGCTTATAGTTTTCAGTTATCCCAAGCTACTGCTAAAGGTCATGGGATGAAAAGCCCTGTGTATCACTGTGGCTGTTACTTAATGTTTATTTTGTGAGAGGTTCTGTGAGGTTACACTGTATCTGAGAACGCTTGAGGTCTTATTTTCCTACTGCCAAGACCTACTGGCAGTTGCTAGGTGATGATCTGAAGCAGGACAGTGACACAATCGCTTTCAGTAATGTTAAATGGGCCGTCCCCTCCGCCTCATGCGAATTCAGTTTTCATTGGTTGGGGATCCTAACTCAGTGGAAAAGAGAGGTAGGGAGATGACTGTTGACAGTCAGGGAGTTGGTTAGAAGTCAAGGAGGGAGGGAGGCCTGCTGGTTGGTGCGGGGTGTTTAAAAAGATCAGGAGAAAGCTGAGGGGAAATGAATAGGCCCAGATGGTAAGCTAATCCTTCTCTAACCATACCTGGCTGGTAAAGATCAGGCACAGGATGCCGGTGGCTGAGTTAAGCCAGAAGGCTGCCCTAAGATCTTGCCAGAAGGTTATAAAAGCAGCCAATTAAAAACAACATCAGATAAACTGTTCAACTTGTCTGAAGCAGAAAAGGAGGAACTTTGGTGTCAAAGGAAATCTGGACCTGTGTCGTGGCTGTATTTGGCTGGAGTGTAGCTCTAAGGAGTGAGATCAAAGAAGTAATTAAGAGGCTTGTAGCAGCAACAGTGTCTCTTCAGTCCTTAAGAACTGTCACAGGGCAGTCTTCTGAAAACCCCAACAGAGATATTAGTGATTCTAGTATTGGAGTCCCTGATACTTATATAAAAAATTACCTTAAATAAATTAACAATACTTCATCTTGCTCAAGTGTTGGTGCCCATCTCACCCCTAAGCCTTATACCAAGAAACTAGGAGGCTTTCTAGTATTCTAAGAGAACTGGTGGCGGCAGAAAGGGGCAGCTTGTGGAACTCAGCTGTAGTAGCAGATAATTCCTTAGGCTCTGAAAAATATAAACATTTTCCATAAATAAGGAATGGCATAGGTGGGACCACCCAGTGAAGGAGTAGTTTCCACACAGGTGAGAGCAGTGCTAGGGCAGAGAAACTCCCTGTATGCAAGGTATTTGTATCCTATGCTTTATCAAGAAGACTGAAATGGAGAGGACTCATTACTACCCTTATTTTACCCTTGCCGAACCAGGAAGGAACAGGCATTCACGGACTCAGCTGTGACAAGAACGCAGGCTTTCCGGGTGCAACTCCAATGCATTAGCCATGCTGGATGCATAGATTTGAAACGCTGCTCCTTGTGCTGCTTAAATTCCCACAAGTCTGACTAGGATGTGGCAACATGGCTTCAGGTGTTAACTTCAGATCTAACGTAACAGCACCCAGCCTAATGTTCCCCAGATGTGCTGAACCACAATCCCCATCATTCTCACCCACCATAACTATGCTGGCTGGGGACAATGGGAGTTGCAGACCAACAGACTTGGAAGCCACAAACCCAGGGAAAGCTGACTGAATACATTTCTGCCTCCTCTCATTTCCCCAGAAAATAGAACTTATTCCTTGGCTTTTTAAAAGCTCCAAACCTTGCTTACCTTAGCGGAGGCTTTGCCCATTTCATCTATAATCGCCATGAGCTGCTGCTGCAGATCCACCCTGGTGATAAAAGAGAACCAACTGGGTCTCATCACCACAGAAAACTGCAATAGAAAGTTATCTGATTCCACAAGAGCAGAATATTTTGACACATCAGAGACTCAACTGGATGCAAAAAGCATGATGTAAATGCCAATTTCCTGCACCTGTACTGTGAATTAAACGTTTATTTTAAAATGGAACTCAGTCCCAGGTAACTGTGCACAGATCTGCAGCCTTGGCACACTCTGCACTCAGGGATACAGCTCCAACCACCAGATTACTCTCTTCTCCCAGAAGCGCGTGAGGCCTGGGAGGGGTCAGCCCATTGCTAGATGGTAGAACACACACTCTGCATGGCAGCCTTCCCCAGCCTCACGCCACCCAGAGGTTATGGACGATAACTCCCATAACCCCTGACCATGTTGGCTGAGGCTTTAAAATACAGTCCAAAACACGTGGAAAACTGAAGGTTGCCTACCCTTACATAATACAGAAAAGCCCCACATTTAACCCTCGTCTAGTTAAATGGCTCTCAAGATGGCAGCCTAGAAAAGGGAGCCCCCACCACCTCACATGAGGCAATGAAACAGTGATGGGAGAGGTGTGTGCTTTTACTTTTCCCAAAGAATTCTTATTTTTTCTGTTTCGTATTGTTATTAATACCAGTGAATGAAGGCCAATTGCAAATTAGGAAAGCTTAGGAATTTCAAACTAGTAATTATTTTTTTCACATTATCAAATGCCTGCTATTAACCCTAGCAGCAAGCATGTAAAGGAATGCCACTGAAATAAAGGCACGTCCCACTGTGAAAGTGGCAGTGGCCAGAGGTCTGTACAGACCACCACAGAGACCTTTGCCTCGGGTCCCACAGTGGCTCACCACCTCAGCTCAGAACGAACTGGGCAAGACAGAAGCCAGGCTTCTATGCAAGCAGTGAGTTTTTGGAAGAAGGTGCAAGCCAACCACCTGCATATTTTGTCTGCTGCTGCACTGAACAAGTCTCAGGATTGCACCAGGCCATGGATTTCTGACTTCTGACATCCTCAAACAGCAGCTACAGAAGCAGAAGTTCCCTGGAAACAGACACTGGCTGGGAATGATGGGAGTTATAGTCCACCACATTTAGGGGCACCAGGCTGAAGAAGGCTGCCTTTAAAATGTGCATCTTTAGATGTCAATTGCCACTGTGCCTATAGGAGAGAAAGTGCCAGTGCTCTGTTTCTAGCACTATTCATAGGCTCTTCCACCCCATGAAAGCAGTTGCATGGATCCAGATTCAGTCATACCTGGAGAATAAGACCCATGCAAACCCAATGGGTCTACTTCTCCAAGTATGACTAAATCTGGATGCCATCCAGTATATCTTTGGTTGCAAAAATGTTCAATATTACACCAGACATAGTAAAGGTCAGCACAACATCTCCTCTATGTGAAAATACAAAAAAGAAACTTATAAAGGGTTTAAGTGGCAATACAAGAAATGGACCCTCCCTCCCCTGCCCATGGCAGGTTTCATCTATCTCTCAGTGGTCTGCCAGTCCAGCAATCAGTAGCCAATCAGATGCCTCTAGAAAGACCATGAGCTGAAAATGAAGATAACAGATCCTGCTGTTGCTGACAAGAGCAGATCTGATCCATACAAGGGTGAGAAAGCCAATTCACATATAGGATTAAGTAATCCAAGCAATGAGATCTTCCCACTGACATACCATATAGAGAGGCAACAAAATAAACATGCTTATGATATAAAGTGTTATCATAAGTTCTTCGAAAGGTAAGAAGGCATGATATATTTCCATGATATAGGAAATAAAAATGAATGGCACAGGACAAACTATTTCTTTTAATGAGGCCACCTGAGGAACTTGAGGCTACCTCAGAAGCTTACTATGGATTCATCTTAGAGAAGGTCAGTAAAGGCAGACAAGCTGCAACAAGAAGGGGGATTTGCCCACCACTATTTAGCACACCTGCAATATACAGCCATGAGGCTTCTACATCCTGTCTTTTTTTCCTTTTGTAAGGAACCCAAGGTGGCTTATATAATCCTCTTCTCCATTCTATCCTCACAACAACCCTGTGAGGTGAGTTAGACTGAAAGTCAGTGACTGGCCCAAAGTCACCCAACAAGCTCCATGTCAGAGAGGGGGCAAGAATCCAGGGCTCCTGAGTCCCAGTACAATGCTCTAACCAATACACCTCATGAAGTAACCACTATACCTCACTAGTACCAAGAATATCCAATCTAGGTCAAAATCTCTGTTAATGTGGTCATAACCTAGGGCCCAATAGCCTTAAGAAGCACACTCTATGAATGTACAAATGAGCCCTGAATCTCCTGGGGGAAGTCCAGGACAGAAATGTGGGATTCCATGCAGGAAGGGTTCTATACATATATAAAGGTTTCAAAATACAGACACAAAAGACAGTATCTGCCACAGGAGACGACACCTTCTTCTCTGCTGAGCTGCAGGGCAAAAAAAGAGAGCTTTTGCAGCTCATGTACACCATAGCAGATCACTGCCCAACACAATGCCTTAGCTATTAGCCACAGGACTAGGATGACAGCTACAGCCAATTTTAAACATACCACACCTCTAATGAAGCTGCCCTAATGCTTGGTTTGGATGCTGCAGCTGGTGAGGAATGCAGCAGCTAGGGTGACCACCCTAGGACACCCAGCTATGTTCACACAACAGCTGTGTTAAAAGAACTGCACTGACTATTAGCTATGGAGTTCATGTTCAAGGTTATGTCATTGACATACAAAGTTCCTTAACAACTTGCAACCAGGATATCTAGCAAATTGCCTTCTCCTATATATAGGCACAGCAAACCTTTATGAACTCCAGAAGGGGCTTTTTTGGTAGTTCTGCCCCCAACATAGTGCCACCATGTAATCTGTAAGGCAGCTCACACTCTTTAAGACTCTTCCACATGCAGTTCAGGTAGGAGAAAATGTGGTGTATTTCAAATGCCTCTTGAAAACACACTTGGACACCCAAGTTTCCTCCAGCTTGCAATACATCACTTGGTACCCCAGCGCTTTTCCTTGTGTTGTTTTGATTTGTTATTGCAGCTAGAACTGGTTTTAAATGGAATGTGTATTGTTGCTACAGTAGAAAATAGTTTGACTAGTGTATTGTTACCACAGTTAAAATTGTTTTATTAGTGTATTTAATACTAACTTTTTACTATTTATATGTGAAGCTTTAAGTGATGTAATTATATTAAGCAATGCATGATTACCAACAATTAAGTAAACAAGCTCAGGCTGTGCATGTGTTTAAAAAACCTTTTGCTACTTGTACTTGAGATCACTATGGTCAAGCAGAGAGCAGTATAACATGCTCTGAAGCACAAATTGCTATTTGACTGGAGACAGGTTTGACTAAATTTATTTTTTCGATTTTTCGATTTATATCCTGCCCTTTTCCTACAAAGGGCTCAAAGCAGCTTACATCATTTTCCTCCTCCATCTTATCCCCACAACAACCCTGTGAGGTAGGATGGGCTGAGAGTCTGTGACTGGCCCAAAGTCACCCAGTTGGCTCCATGGCTGAATGGGGACTCGAACCCAGATCTCCTGAGTCCCAGTCCCATGCTCTTAACCACTACACCACAACAATCCTATGCAGGTATAGAGGGAAAAAAGACAATTCCCTTTATGACCCAACCAAAACAGCTTAATGAAGCATGTTGGGAATTGTCAGCCTTTTTTTCTGTCTATTCTTGCACAGGCTTATACCCTTATTGTAATAAAAACGGGCTATGAAATAAACATCTTCAGAACACCCTACAAGGTAAGCCCAGTAAAAAGACGATACAAGATTATTTTAAAAAATAGGGTTTAACACAGGATTGTTTTTGGTCTGTCTAAATGTCAAGCAATTGTTTTAATGATTATAAATAAGTGCAGATTCTAATGCACACATCTGTTATTTCTCAGTGATCTTTTATTTATTCTTTTTGTCATGCGTGAACTCAAGGTTGTACACACTGAGCAGTTTACAACAACCCAGTAAAACACAATATCCTCACAGTAACCCTGAGAAGTAGGTTAGGCCAGCCTTTCCCTCTACAACTGGGCTACAATTCCTATCAGTCCAGGCAGTAAGATTACTGTTCAGGGATGATGGGAGCTGTAATCCAAACATCAGGAGGCCACCGGGTTGGGGGAGGCCGATGGTACTGGCCGAAGGCAAAGGGTAGATTTCCTTTTGGCTCAAACCGAGCACTGTATCCACAGCTTAGTACCCATCATGCTTTAGGGGAACGAACACGAAAACATCAGCCAGCATGCCACGCGCCGGAGACAATAGATGGGCGGATTGCTGCAAAGACCAGAATTAAAGTGGGTGTAGCTGGAGCACGCGCGCCGCGCAAAATATGTAGAGAGCGATTTCCTAGGAGGCGCCCAGTAAGACAATGGGCGACGGAACCGTTATGGTGTGTCCCGGACAGGTTCAGAGACCATCACAAATCGGACTGGCGTGAGGCAGGTGGAAAGGACACGTCATCGCCATGGCTACCTGTGGGTCGTGGCGAACCCGGCTCCCCTTCGTCCCGACGGCTGCAAGTGCTGGTCCACCGTCGTGATCCGCTCGGCAAGGAGCGCGTCCACGTCGAAAGGGAACTCCATGGTCCCGGCATCCGGGTCCCTTTCTTCCCACCTTGGTCTCGCGGACTTCCGCCTGACAACGTGGGGGCCCTCCCCCGGCGACGCCGCCGCTTGGCCCCGCCCCCGGGAGCGGGGCTTCTCGCGCCGCCCTGCTGCCTGGCTGCCGTGGCAACGCGGCCAAGCAAACGGCCGCGCCCAGCATTCTCCCCGGCTGGGGCGTCTGGACTGGGAATGCGCTGCTTGAGGGATCATAGCTATTCGTTTTCGCCTGGGAGTAACCCCTAGCGAAAGGGCGCCAGGAAACTAGGGCTGCCCGTAAGTCACCCTGTTTAAAGCACGACCTAGCCTCGCCCACTCAAAAGTAATTCCAGTATGGAGTTTCAAGGAATACAAGGGGAAGATCGCACAGGTTTTATAGAACTGGAAAGCCTGTAATTTGAAAAAGCTTAATCTGATTTATGTGCAAGGAATCCTTGCATTCCAGTTTAAGGTGTTAGTCACAGGCACATAAGTAGTTTCTAACATATTTTTCTTAATGTAAGAATTTTGCATAATTCAAGAGCTTGCATTCTGTGTGATCATGGTTAGGAGTTAATTCTTGTTAGGACCTAACTTCAGCAAGGCTTTTGACAAAACGCCCCCTGAAATTATGATCTGCAGACTTGACAAAAGCAGGTTCGATGGAACAACTGCCAGATCTACACTTGACTAAAGAATTAAAGTGTACTTCTCAGTGGCACCTCAGAAGAAGAAGAGGTAATTAGATACCCAAGAGCTCAGTCTTGGGACCAGTGCTCTTCAGCATTTTTATTAATGACTTGGATGAAGAGGTGCAGGAAATACTTAAATTGCAGAGGACACCCTCGAAGACAGAAACAGATTTCAGAGTAATCTTGATCGGCTGGAGTGCTAGGCTGAAAGCAACAGAATGAAATTCAACAGGGGCAGATATCAAGTTTTACAACTAGGAAAAAGGAAGCAAGATTACAGTTACAAGAACCTCATTCAACAATAATATAAGCAGAATGGCTTTTGGAATGGTTGGAGGTCAGAAGCTGAATATGAGCCAACAATGTGATGTGGCTGAGAACTCGGGAGGGAGGGAGATATAAAAGAATTCTTGGCATTTTAAATATTGTCGTTGAGAGCTACAGACTTCAACAAAAAAAATTAAAAACATGCATTGCAGAAAAATAGCTTGAGGATTCTGAGGATACCAGTTTGTTCTCCAATTAGATGCATGTTGTACTATTGCAACCAGGATGGCTGTGATTGATTGTACATTATGTATAATCAAACATTACATAAATATGACTGGCCCTTGCCACTGCTGGAACATTACACTTAATCATATGATGCCTTGAGTCCAAAGTACATTGTTGTCAGGCCTTGTTTTTAGAAAATAAGCTCAGGTTAGACAGGAAGTGAGTTACGTTCAAGGTGCTTTTGATTAATGTGCAGTGCTTTTGTATTGTTTTAACTGCTGTTTGAATGCTTCAAAAATTATTTTGTTTACAGTTATTCGTACATTATGCACCCTGAAGTGCAATTTTTATGCTCTATTTTGATGGGAGTCTTCTTGGAAAAGGTTACCATGAAAGTCAACATATATACATCTTAATAAAGATCAGCCTAAATTGAATAATACTTAAATGATAATGACTTACAGTATCTTGGGGAGGCAACCTACTTGTACTACCATTTCCAGATGGTCTGATCCCTGGCTATGCTGGCTAGGGCTAATGGGAGTCATAGTCTAAAACATCCAGGTTTTGCCAAGTTGCCTACATCTTATTCCAGCCTTCCCCAGCCTCCTGCCCTTCAGATGCTCTGCACTCTATTTCCCAGCATTATTTTCCATTGATCATGTTAGCTGGGGTTGATGGAAGTAGAAGCCCAAAGCATCTGGAAGGCACCAAGCTTGAGGAGGCTGCCTTACTCATACATGTTCAGCCAGTTTCATAACATGTGACAGTGTGTATGTATACATGCCTGCATGCATTAGAGTGAGAACCTTTCCCCCACACCTTGCCCAAGTTAACTACATTTTTTAGAAGTGATCAAAGCTGCACAGGAGCCGGGGCTCCTCCAGATCCAGCACTGGCACTCATGATATAGAATGTAGACCTAATCTCCCACCTCAAACTTCCCTCTTTGCTCAGCTACAACTCACATAGTAGCTGGCATGACATGAATTTCCCCAGCTAAAGTATGTTACTGTATTCTGTTGTAATGCCAATTAATTTGGGGTAGCTTAGTCTTGAATGGACAATTAACACTCACCAGCTCTACTGCTCCTGGGAGAGATGAAAATGGCAAAAATTGGCTTGTTGGTATGTATCCATGCAGTCCAATGTAATTTTAGATTACAGGTTACAGAGACTGTCATGAGCACCCGCACTTCCAACATTTCTCACTACACTACTGACTCAGACATACCGCAGGACTAAACTTGAAGAGCATTCTTTTAATTATAGCAGGGAGCAGGACCTGATCATTTCTCAATATCCATTGTCTGCATTTGTTCTCTCCCTGACTGCAATGCAGCTGTTTGCAGAGAAAAAAGTTCAACCACCAGAATCACTGAGAAGGGCTTTAATGATTGGATGCATGAACAGATGAGGAAACCGAGTGAAGCCAAAATCCCAGCTGGACTGCCCTTTTCAAGAACTGCCACCATGGGGGACTCTTTGATTCTGTCCATTCCTGCTGTCAGGCTCATGGAGAGCAGTTCTCCTTCAGGAAGTTCTTGTAAATCTTCCTGAGCCGTTTAATGTCCTTCTCTGCTGGCTGCTGCCAGTCATACCACTCATACCATGCTGACTTGCTCTGCAGAGCTGGAGATGGAGGAGTCTTGGAGACAGCTGGATGCTGGTTACTGTAATCCTCATTTTGGAAACTGGTGAAGGGGATGAGGAAGGATAAAAGGCCTGAGAAAGGAGACAGGGGAGGAAAGAGTTGAGCTTGTTCTTGTCACCCAAAAGACAGAAAATCATCCAGTATCTTTCCATGACTGGGCAAATTCGGATTGCAAATGTGTAATATGGGGAGGGTTAAGTGCTGTGCAGAAAAGTACAAGCTGAATGATCAGGAAAGGTTATGATGTTTGAGGCTATTTGCTTAGAAAAAAGGCAAATAAGAGGGGAACATGATAAAGGTGTGCAAGATGATGGATGGTGTAGAGAAAGTGGACAGGGAAAGGTTTCCTCCTTTCCCTTTGTACGTGACTCTAGGTCATCCCATGAAGCTATGCAAGACAGATTTAAAGAAAGGTATTCTCCAAACATCACACAATTAAACTATGGAATTTGCTACCACAAGATGCACTGATGGCTACAAAGGTAGGTGACTTTAAAAAGGGATCAGACAAATCCATTAAGGATGAGGCTATCAGTGGCATGAAATAATGGTGCCTACATATTAGCTTCATTGCTGGATATAGAACACCTCTCAGTACCAGCTGCTGTGGAATAGAGAGTACTATTATATTAATATTTTGCTTGTGAACCTCCCTCTGGCCCATCTGGATGGCCACTATGGGGATGCTGGATTAGAAGGGCCTTCTGTCTGGAACAGGTTTTTTTTTTTCCAATTACATTTCTATCCTGCCTTTTTTTCCTCTTGCAAGGAATTCAAGGCAGCTTACATGTTTTATTTTCACAGCAACCCTATGAGGTAAATTAGATGAAAAGTTCGTGGGTTTCACGGCTGTGATGGGATGAGGAACCTGGGTCTCTCGAGTCCCAGCCCAACACTCTTAACTACTAAGCCACACTGATCTTACGTTCTTCAGCACTTCATGGCTTCTGTGCAACTCTGCTCCCTCCTTGCTACTTACCATGCTCTCGGGCTTGCTCAATGGCTTTGGTCAATTGCTTATACTTCTTCATACAGATACCTGCGAGGAGGAGGAGGAAAATGTTTCAAAGTATAATAGAGACTCCTGTGGTAAGTAGAACTTGCTCACAGGAAGTAGTATTCAAAATGAGACTCTACCTTTGGATTTTATATGCAGGATTTTGGATATACCCAAAAACAGATTCTCTTGTGCACATCTTCTCATTTGTTGTTGTTTTTGGAAGCCCTATTCAAGGTATCCCATTTTTATAGGCTCATAGCTCCCCATTTAGACTAGACCCTCTAGGAAAGTTCCCCAGGCACCTATATTGAGATCCTGAAACCCACAAGTTAGAAACTATTCTATTCACAAGAACTTTCTATAAGCTGTTATTATAAATAGCTCACAGCCCAAAGCAACTGTTTCTAAAATAGTTATTGTTAAGGTACCTTGAATATTTAAGTAGAAATGCAGAATATACATGACAAAAGAAACAAATGTGCTTCCTAACCATGACTTTCAGCCTGCTAAATGACACACAGTAGAACCCAGGAAGCCACTTTGTACCAGGCCAAACTATTTGCTGAACTGTCCTAGGACAGGCTTCTCGGACAGGCAGCGTGTGCTCCAGGGCCTCAGACAGAGAAAGGTCTCCCACATCACGTTCTACACGAGCCTTTAAACTGAAGATACTGGCAGCTAAGCTTGGTGCTTTCTGCATGCAAGGCATGTCCTCTCCCACTGAGCTGCTGTCCTCCTCCTGACGCTTGAACAGAACTCAGCCAGCATGACCACCCATGAGCAGGGCTGTGTGCGCAGCCAACTGCACCTCTGACTTGCAGACTGCACTCTGGCAACCACTCAAGAAATATAAAAGTCAGCAAAAACGGCTCAATAATGTAAAAAATAGTGAGAAGGGAACAAGAACCAAGATGCCTAACAAGCCAATCTATCCTGACAGTGTTCGGAGATGGGATCAAGCTTCTGAAGGAGCGCTTACATCCTTATATGCCCAGCCGCCCCCTGAGATCGGCGGGAGAGGCCCTTCTCCGGGAACCCTCCGTGGAAGAAGTTCGGAGGGTGGTTACTTGGAGGAGGGCTTTCTCAGCGGTGGCGCCTAAGTTATGGAATGCGCTCCCCAGAGAGGTCCGCCTGGCACCGTCGTTATTTGTTTTTCGGCGCCAGGCGAAGACCTTTTTATTTAAGCAGTATTTTAAATGTTAATATGATTGAATTTTATTTGGCCAGGGCGGCTTGTTTTATATTGTATGTTTTATATTATATATTTGTATTTTATTGTATATATTTTAAAATGTTATTTTAATTTTTTGTTGTAAGCTGCCCCGAGGCTTCGGCGAATGGGACGGCATAAAAATGTTTTAATAAATAAATAAATAAATACATACATACATACATCAGTGTGGAGCTGAGTCCAGATGCAGTGAACACTAGAATTTCTTTGCCACTCAAAAGGTGCTCAAAATTGTTTAGGGGAAAATGCAAAATTCAGGCAGAATGCAGGCTTCTGCTCACCACTCACATAAACATGTTTCATTATCAGCATATTCTCAAAAGAGTCATACACTGTTCTCTTCTAATGAATGTGCTGAGTAAAAGTATTCTTCATGGACGCCTACCGAACAGGTTTTTCTCAGCCTTCCATAGGCCAAGGTCCCACACTGTCCAATCAGTTGGTCTCAGCACTTCTTACAAGCAACTCGCTCATGAGGACTTTTCCATTGCTGTCATCCACTTTAGTCCATGGCAGCTGCTCCGACAGTAGCAGAGTCCAAGGGTTCCTTGGGCCCAAGAGGGTCGGATTAATGGTGGTTCCAATGTTGGACTTCAACCAGGGAGAACCAGTTTCACAACTTGCACTAATTCACCGATCATACTGGGTACCTTGGCCCACTGTCTTAGCCTAACCTACTTCACTGGATGCTTGTGAGAACTGTTTATGCCACAACACTGAGCTCTATGGAGGAACGGTGGGATGTAAATGTAACAGGAAGGGGAGCGTGGCTAACGGCTGCTGCTGTACCAAGGATCTGTCTAACTTTCCCTCCCTTTAACGTACTCTAAATCTTACACGATCACAACATTTTGTGGTAGATAATTTAATTAAGTAGGGATCATGTGAAAGAGTTTATTCTTTTGCTTGTCTTAAATCTACTATCAACTTAAATTTAGATCTTTTTACTAGCGCAACTTCCAGCATTTTGTTAGAAGAGGAAGAACATATTTCTATTTGCTCTCCTCACACCAATGTAGAATTTATAATCCATTCTCTGCCAATGATAGGGATATGCATCTGTGCTCTCCTGATGTTTTGAAAATGACAGCCCCCATCATTCCCAGCTAGGATGCTCCCAGTATCTGAAATAGTTCTCCTCCTTTTTGAAGTCCCTGCTGCAAAAGGGATGTGATAGAGGCTCACAGACTACGCATGGTATGGACAAAGTGGATAGAATGGAAGAAATACGCCCTAATACTAGAACTAGGGCCATCCCATGAAGATGACTGGTGGGAGAGTCAAGACAAATAAAGCACATACTTAGACTGTGGAATTCATTACAAGATATAGTCAGGGCCATTTAAAAAGGGGATTAGATAGATCTGTGGAGGGTAAGGCTATCGTGACAAAGCTGTGATGGCTATAAAGGCATTATGCCTCTATGTATTTATTTATTTATTTAACACATTTGTATGCCATATTTTATGACAATTGTCTCAGAACGGCTCACAGCGAATAAAACCAATCAATGAAACAGTACAATAAAATGACATATAACCAATAACATAAATCAAAGTGACTGTTATTAAAATTACTATATCTTTTAAAATAACGTTTAAATAAAAAGGTTGTAACCTGGCGCCGAAAAGAATATAGGCCCAGTGCCAGGCCAACTGCTAGAAACATGTCCTGCTTGTGGGTACCATACTTACATCTGGTCAGCCACTGCAAGAACAGAATGCTGGACTAGATGTGCTTTTGGTTTGATCCCACATGATTCTTATGTTCTTGCCAGGGCTTGGGCTATGCGGTCACAGCTCACTTGCCCTTCCACCTCTGCACTCCCACTGCCCTGCTGAGAAATCACCAACTTCTCTTTTCTACCACTATTTTCTTCATTTAACATTGGCCCTGATACTTTTTGCCCAGAGGTCTTACAGTTACATTCTCAGCCATGGCTGGTGCACACTTGGAGGAGAGCACTGAAATGGTACTTGTTCAGGTCTGCTTTTCTTTCACTTACCAGATGCAGACCCCACTCCCATCCCCATGTAGGCTTACAGAAGCATTCAGCAATGTTCCCAAAAGGCTCCATGAATTCTCCCTAGATTTACAGTCCAGGAAGCATGGTCTGTGCGTTCCCCATTCCTACAAGAGCTTTGGCCACACATATAACAGGATTTCCCAAACTTGGGCCCCAGATTTTGGGCAACAATCCCCTCCCCTGATTATGCAATGTGTAGTCTGAATCTGGGGACCCAAGGTTGGGCAACAGTGTAAACTTTGAAGTACAAAAATTATGCCAAGCTGGCCTTCACCTGGGGCAGGTTTTGCACTAAGGCTTGTGTATTGTGAGTGAAGGGGAAAGAACACTGCATGAAATGCCACTGAAGCTACAATTGTAAATCAGAGAAACAGGCCTAGAGGTATTTCGCTTTATTGCAAACCCAGCAACGTCAAAAGAGAGATGCCCTATGGGGTGAGGAGAAAAACCTTGGGCCTGGAGGCCATGTCCAACCCACTGGGATTACTCAGATTACTATACTCCCTTCCCCTACGTGGGTCATGGATTCTACACTTTGGTGGACTCCCCACTCCCCATTTTTATGGTTGAAAAGCCTCTCATAAATTTATCACTGGAAGTAAACACTTCAAGCTAAATTATGCAGGTACACTTTGGGTTTTGTTCCAACCCCTTCTGTCTTCAGCCTCACCCATCATTGGAATGTATCCCCAAGAGTATCCCTGAAAGGGAATTTGGCCATCAGGCTGAAGGAGGTTCAACCCCCCTGAGATGTACGGAACAGTGGCACTAAAGGACAATACACAGCTTACCTGTGCGTGTTGGATGGTAGATGATGCCTGAATGGGGGCAGACAAACTGTTCCAGAAGTTGCACATTCTGTAGGATCAAAGAAAATATCAGATTTTATATCTTGCAAGTCAGAAAAGGAATCAAAGACACTAGTACTATCATGGATAGTCTCATCCTGTGTTATTGGAAATATTCTAGGTCAACATGTCAAAGAACAAGTTCTTTGCAGTGGCACCAAAGCTTGGACTTTCCCTACTAAGGAATCTTGCCCCGTTTCTTCCTCCTAACTGTTCCTTTTGTTCTGTCTAATATATTTACTAATTAGTTTTTGAGCAACAGTTTCAACATTTGTGTATGCTTCAGTAACTTTATCCATTTTGGAGACTATCAGCAGAAATGCAGGAGGATTCTCCAATAAAGATATCAAAGAACATTTGTTGTTCTTACCCTATAATCCAAGAAGAGGTGTTGGTCTCTGCAGATTGGGCAGGGATTCCCACACACACGTGTCCCTCTCTGCCAGAACAAAAAAATGGGTGAATGTCAGTCTGTCAATTGAACATCACTAAAAGAGAAACCTGAAGAAGATCTGCCCAGATACCGAAGGCCATGCTGAAACTGTAGCAGAAGAGGGAGTTGCCATTAATCACCAGCATTAAAAGTTCCAGATGTTTCCCTAGGCTTCCCCCCCACCTAAAAAAAGCCTGAAAACCCCAAAAGGCAGCAAAAAACTAAAAAGTCTTGCCCACAATGCAGAACCTACCTCATATGAGCATGACCTCCCTTGATCTAACATCTGATAGTCTCACTTAACCAGAGAATTTCATAACAGTTATCTACAACATGGCATCCTTCAGATGTGCTGGACTTCAACTCCCAGCAATCCCAGTCAATGAGGTCACTGGCCTTTCTCATAGTGCCAGATTCTTTAATCCTGTCAATAGTAAACCAACTATATGTATATAGAGTTGCACAAATCACCAAGGAATGTCAACACCTTTAAAGTATGAAATTCAGTTCCTGTGTAGTTTCAACTAAAGGCTCTGAACAAAGCCTATAGGTAGAGCAACACCACTGGTCCATCTGGCCCAGCAGCTATCAGTAGCTTTTCAAAGCCTTAGGCAGAGTACTTGCCTGACCCTGTTGCTCAGGAATCTTTGCTCTGTGAGATCAGGCATCCAGCCTGGCATGTCCCCTATGCAAAGTACATCTGCTATGATTTAAGGACAGACCTTCCATCAACTGAAAGGGCCAAGATATCTGCATCCTGCCAAGGTGCCCCACTCCCCTCTCCTGTACCTTCTTTTTCCTACATAAATTGAACTAGAAGATAACAGGTTGTTCAAAGCAGGAATTAAAAATTTGAAAAGCATTGTTACAGTGTCTTGACTTTTTTGAAATATAGACCTGTATTCCCCAGCCTGATATCCTCCAGATGTTTGAACAACAACTCCCAGCATTCCTGACCAGCTGTATGAACTGGGGCTATGAGAGCTGAAGGCGGGGGGGGGGGGGAGTTTGGAGAAGTCTGAAGTAGATTAAGGGAGAAACTGTACTGGAGTGAAAGGGGAGATGAGGGGAGACTAGAGAGAAGTACAATCTATGCAAGTTTGATTTGTACTGTTGAGAAAATAATTTGATGGACATTCTGGCTGGGCAAGGATGGAAAGCTTTCAAATTACTGCAAAGCTCAGTTCTCCCAGCTCCCATAATATACAAGAAAAAACATTTACTCACAATGCAAGTTCTTCTGGTCTTTTGTGGTGGAATCTGGCCCTTGTGATTACGCCTGTAGCCAAACCAAACAGGATTGCTGCCATATCTTTCTATGTATTCTAAAGCGGTAGAATAGAAAAGGAAAATATAGCCAATTATTCACAGTAGTCTGCAAAATTGCAACATATCAGAAGGCTTCCAAGCCCTGGCCCACCTGCTCTGTTACAACTAAAGTTGTTTTCACATGAAGCAACAGGCTTTCTACCTCATGAAAGAACAGGCTAATAAGGAATAGCAGTTTAAGTCATATGGCCATCCTATCAACTCTTCCTCAGAAGCAAGCCTACTGAACTCAGTTGGATTTATTTCTGCACAGACAGCCTTGAGACTATAAGGGGTTAGCAGAAATGTCTGGATGATTTCCAGTAGATCAGAAAGGATTTCTGCCTCCTAATTATTCGGTAAGCACAACTATATGATTATGCTTCCCATCTTAAATTGGACTGCTGCAATGAAGAAAGCTTGCTCCCAGGAGCATTCCACTGTGTGAAAGGACTGTGAACTCCATTCAGTTCTAGCACTGAAAACAAATTCCTATGATGTGCTCAGAGGCACTCAGCTCTTTAATTGTAAGTCTTTTCCGCCTGGCTCTCCTTGGTGGATTTTCACATTCTAATATTTATTTATTATTTATTAAAACATTTTTATGCCGCCCCATTCGCCGAAGCCTCGGGGCGGCTTACATCACTAAGTTATAAAAAAAAAACCAGTGTGGTACAGTGGTTAAGAATGAGGGACCGGGACTCAGGAGATCTACCTTCTAGTCCCCATTAAGTCACAGTGTTCACTGAATGACTTAAGCCCAGACACAGATGCTCGGCCCACCCTACCTCACAGGGTTGTTGTTGTGAGGATAAGACTGAGAGGATGAGAATGATATAAATCATCTTAAGTTCCTTGCAAGGAAAAGGGGTGGGATATAATTATAATAAACACAAAATAGATCCAATAAGACTGTAATCTGGTTTAATCAGTAGGGATGGGTAAAATGACTTGTGTTAGATCACTCTGGACTCTGATTTAACACAAAAATGGAGCGTTCTTTTGAAGACTAGAAACCCATCCGGTGTCTAAATAAACGCCTTGCCCTTCGGTGCATTCCTGCACTGAGGTTAAGTCTCCATGTGTCTAACAGGATTTTCTCCCACACAGTCATGCACAGGATTACATTCCCCATCTTTAAAGCCATGTCCCGCCCTGCCCCTAGTTCTTATTCTATCCCTGTCTGTGACCTTCGCTCCACCGACATGAAACCCTTTCCCCAGTTATCCCAGTTTCTTGCTCCCTTTCTCCCTGCTGCCCCCTCACATCTTGAACTCCTCAAAACACTTGAACTCCTTGAAAACAGTCCTCAAACCTAACTCTGCTGCAAAGATTTGAGTATAGCTGCTTAGTTCTTACTTTCCATGGAATCAGAGCCCATGCGCATGCAAGTGCGTGGGCTCATTTTTTCCTCATACTGCCCTTGCTTCACCCTTGTCTTTTCTCATTGTTTCCTTCGCTGTTTAAATTTAGACAGTAAGCTCTTGCAAGACCAAAGGGCCCACCCCTCTAGCTCTCTCTTTTGCGTGTGGGTGACTTTGTAAAGTACTAGGTGCATGGCAGCACAATATAAGCACATTACTGAATGGCACACTAGCAGTCCAGAGCGAGTGCAGTCTGTGGTGCAGGAAGTTAACACAGTCTTCAAAATGTCCAGCCCATCAAGCTCTGAAGTTAGACTTTTCAGAGCACAGTTCAAAACCACCCTAATTCAAAAGCAACCACACATGGACAGCTATTTAAAACAGATGGGGCACAAACAAGATGCCACCCTGAGAAGGTCCTGTTTCCAGTGGTCACCAATCTAACCGATTTCATAGATGGATCAGTGAGTAGAGTCTCCTGTGATGATGTTTGGACCTAGGCAGGGTGATATGGGAATAAACAGTCTTTTGCTGTGCTAACTGCTCTTTATTTGAACATCTAAATGCTCATATAAGAAAATGAGTTACATTGACTAAAACCAATTGCTCACCTAACATTTTCATGACTAGCTAAACTCTCCCAGAGAGTCCTCAGGCTATGAGGCAGCATACAATGTATTAAATAAATAAATAGCCAGCCAGCCAGCCAGCCAGCCACATAAAAAGCCAGCTCTTTGCGAATGGGGCAGCATAAAAATGTTCTAAATAAATAAATATTCACAGTAGCTAGAGCTGTCTGCCCCACCCCCTCAAGATTTTTTTGTACCACAACCCTGACTACCAAAATGGCACCATTTTGTACCATTTCTGACTACAGGTCACATTCACTGGGGCTGATGGTTGCCCAAATATCTGGGGGGCACAAGGTTCGAGAAAGCTGAATTGGGGCACATGATACAGAGTAACTTTTCTCAAGCTAAGCAGAACTATGCTGGGAAAGGGCCTGGATAAAAGTTTTTCCAGGAGCAATATATATGTTGTCTTCAGTTCCATGAAAGACAAAATGTGCTTATAACAAATAAAGCTGATGGTCATGGATTGGAAGAAAAGACAGGCACATTTCTATTATAGACTTAGTCCTGTTCATCCATCAGAGCCAGTCCCTCATGCTCCCATCCCCACAGCCATTACTTCATTATAGAGATAATACAAGACATACAAGTCTGTGGCAATTGCTTCCAATAAATTACAGACTTGCAAGGAGTATTAGGAGATTCCTGTGTTGCTTACCCAGGAATGACAGGCTGAGTGGAGTGCGTGAATTACTAGGGTGTTGCTTTTTCTTTTAACTAGCAACTCAGGAACACTGTGTTCCTTGGCTGGTTCTTGACACTGGATTCCAGAATCACTCGATAGCTTATGGATTAAACAAATCATGAGCAATTATTGGGTTAAGTTTGGCTTGTTTAACGCCCAAATGTTGATGCTGACATGTCATCAGGAATGAGGGTATTTCTGGGTTGTAGGAGCAGAAATGATGAGTGTGCATCTGCATGCTGCTTGCCCTCCACTTCTTGGGCTAAGTGACTCAGGAATGCTCAGCGTTACATGCAACCCAACTCTATCAATACGAATAAAGTCACTCAAGAACTTACTGAAATAAAAAAGAAGAAATCTGAGAGATGCCTTGTCTTCACAAAAACCAAAGAGGCCTTTACAGAAAAGTAGTAAATTGAATCTACTTTCTATAGGTAGGAACAGCCCATGGCTTGATAAAGAAAATCCTTCAAGCAAAGTTATGGGGCTGTGCACAGCTGGACACATTGTGTTCATCCCACCAGAGGGGCTGCACCTCAGGAAACGCTCCTGCAAACACACACACATGTGCGTACAATGCTACCTTTCTTCCAAGGCACTTAAGGCAGCATACATGAGTCCTAGGCTGAGAGTATGGACATAAGTTTGTCCAGGCGGTTAACTGGGGATTTAAATTTGGGTATCTCCACTCTTAGTCCAGCACTACAGCGAGGACAGGGCACCAGTATCCAGTCTATCTAAATTATAGGGTAATTCAAGCAAGTCTGGGGGGGGGGGGGTAGAGTGATTTCTGGCTTAAGCTGTATTATCTACAATGCACATGAATAGAAAATATCCTTGGCAGTATGGATTTCACTACAGTTTACGCTCTGTCTACTATAACACTCTACTCCTGACATTTACTTCACACATATAAACAACTTTCTTTATGTGCCCTGGGTACCTTCACTCTTCAAGTATTCCCACGGCTTTTCTTTAAAACGTGATTCTGTTTCGAAAGCAGCTGGCTTTGGGGGTTCATCTTGGCTGGCCTCAGTGCTGTAAATACGGAATGGCGATATCCCAGTCTTCAGGCTGGAAGTGCTGTATACATTCTAAAAGAGACCAGGCAAAGCAGGGCATTTATTAGAAGTAGGCAGCAGGAAACAAGCAGAGTTGATTTCGTATTTAATTCTTACATTTATGTGTCGCTTTTTTTCCAAGGCAGCATGGATGATCCTCCTGTAGGTTAGGTTGTGAGTCAGTGATTTGCCCGAAGTCCCCCAGTGAGTTTCATGGCTGAGCAGTCCAGCTCTTGCACGAACCAGTCCATTCTAACTACTACACTACACTGGCTGCCAGGCCTAGTAAACTACAACAGGTTTGAAATATTAACTTTCTCAACTAAGTATTTCAAAATTAAAGGCACTCTCTACAATTTCCATTGTCCTTTCTGCACACTAAATGGTAAGAAAAATGCTGTTCATTCATCCTTAGAAGGGCCCCCAAAATAAGGATCAATCACATTTTCACTTAACCTGTTTTACTTGCAGCCCAGTACATACACAATTCTGCCATCCCTTCCTTAACCAGGGTTTAAAATAATGGAGGTGGGCTTGCATGTTTCCCAACCTTCCACTTCTATCCTTTTGTCAGCATTAAGTGCTACAGCATTAAATTTACACCAACACAGGCCATAGTCTAGCTTGTTTACAAATCCTGGTTGATATTGGTGCAGACAACACTACACTGTTCACAACTCAGACAAGGAAAGAAGGAGTATTGCTCAGGGGAGAAGGATGCCTGTTACTAGTCTTTTAACTATAGTTAAGAAACAGGCAAGAACTGTGCTGGGCTTATATACTTTGAAGCTATTATTGTTATTTCGGACAGTCAGGTTTACAAGCAACACCTGATCCCATAAACAGATGGACACACCCGGGTTCATCAGTTTTGGTGGTATTACTACACAATTCTACAATGTATACTCAGACATAATTCCCATGGATGTCTATGAAACTTACTCCCAGGAAAGTGGACATATTGCAATCTTAGGCATACACCTAAATCTACATAGATATGGACTGCAAACAGGATTTCTTAACACACACACACACACACACACACACACAGAGCAAACAGCATGGTGTAGCTCATATAGTGTAATCGTCTCAGTACTTAACTTGAACTTAGGAGATCTGGGTTCTAATCTCCACACAGCCATGAAGCTCACTAGGTGTTTCTGGGACAGTTGCTGATATTTGGACTAACCTACCTCACAGGGTTGTTCTTATAATAAAATGGAGCACTGCCATTTGGTTCCTTGCAAGAGGAAGAAAGGCAGGTTATAAATGTAATAAATCATAGTACCTGTTTCAGCAATGAAAATCAACCACCACATTCTGCTTTGCTTATGTTACACAGAGCACTTACCACTGACTACGCTGGCAAATGTAGGCCAAAACATCTGGAAAGGTACAGGTTGGTCATCCATCCAGATGCTGGCTCTGTGCAACCAATACTGTAAGAGCTTCCCCTAGAATCAGATGGCCTATGGCATTCTGCATTCAGGATCCCTGCAGCCGTCCTGAATGAAGGACTCAGCCGTCCCAAAAACTAGAGCTTTGTAGAGAAGGCAATCTCTAAGCATTTGTGCTTTTCCTGAAATACTTGGCCCGCAAATGCAGTCTCGAGCACACTTACTAGGGAGTAAGTCTGATTAAGAACAGCGGGTCTAGAGTAAACATCTCAAGGACTGTACTGTTACTTTGCTATGTAAAGTTTGGGAACATGCTTTGGCTACTAAGTAGATTGGTATTTTACTGTTCAGCTTACTCTTGAAGTAATAGTGAACAGTTCAAAATTTTCAGAAGCATTTTGAGTCGGTAGTTTGGTAAAATCACTCTGTTCATTCTCAAGGGATACTGAAAGGATGGAGGGAAAGAACTAGTAGTCAACAGGGACAATGGAGGGAAATGTGAAAGAGAACTGCAGGCAGGGTTCAAAATATAAATGCCTCCATGTGAAATTTGAGCAGTAACCGATACAAGATGCAATTCTAGCCACCAGTCCCTGCTACCACTGAGAAGAACATCCATCGACTGTCCCTTTGCGTTACTGAGGAAAGTAGTCTTCCTCTTTTGTGTGTTGTAGATCTTGTGTAAATGTTGGGCACTCTAATATATTTGGCTTTATATACGAACACTGCAAAAACATTCCTCATCATATCAGATACCTGCTGCACTTTTGCTAGTTTTCATCTACTATTCTCATCAGTCCTAATATAAGCAGCATTAAGGGTTCATCACTGTAGGCCAAAACACCAGCACAGCCACAAGTTGCTGTCCCCTGCTATAAAAGATGTGAAAGGATTAGGTCCAATTCCCTAGTGAAGGCTGGAGGTATTTGTTGAACCAAGCTAATGTGAACATCAAGTAATGACAGTGATTATGCTAATATCCTCACATCAATTATTATTAGCAAAAGGATGCAGAGCAGTTACTGTACTTCATGTTGGAATATGGAGAAGGAACATGTGGGAAATGATACTTATGAACAGAATTACTAGTCATTAAAATATAAAAAGGGATAAGTGGCTCAATAAGAGTTGCAATAGGGATTCTCCAGAGAAATTGGTCAACATTTCTCTAATACTGGAATCATTAAATGCTGCACACAAATCTGTGATGCCACCACATCTAGGGCACTATTATAAGGGAGCAAAAAATGATGCATGGCATTGAACACATGAACAGTGAAAGATTTCTCCATCTCTCCCAATACTAGAACCCAGAATCTTCTCATGAAGCTTAAGGTTTAGAGATTCAGGCCAGATTATTTTTTTTAATAAAAAAACAAACCTTCTCTAAAAGCATGTGTGAAACTATGGAACTTGCTGTCACATGATATAGGAATGACCATCAATTTGGATGGTTTTAAAAGGGGGTTAGATAAATTAATTGATGATAAGGCTATCAGTGGGTAGTACTCATGATAGCTATATACTATTTTCTAACCAGATTTTGTATGCCTCTGTAATCCAGTTACTAGGAAGCACTTGTGGTTGCTATCACTCTCACGTCCTACTATAGGTTTTCTGCCTTAATAGAATGCAGACCTTGACAGGCCTTTAAAAGGTATGAAACTGGATCAAATTAAAGTCCCATTACACCCCTTCCAAGTGGCCAATTATTAAGAAGTTAGGCTAGGATGATGAAAAGCATCTGAATTTGAAAATACAATTCCCCATCCCAGTCTAGAAAGATTAATTCTAGACTCAGTGATTTTACTTTTAAGCAAGCATACCCAGAACTATATTACTATCATCATTATAACATACTATCAATGAATATATCATGGTGTTGACCAAATGCTCCATGTCCTGGTGTGTGTATGCCCATAATACACAACAGAGGAAGGTTTTCTTTGAAAAGATTTATTCTGGAGAATAATCTGCTGATGATGAATTATTCCAGATAATACACCTGAGCAGTCCTCAGTTGGTCCTTCTATACATTGATCATTAGAGGATTACATGCAACGCCGGTTTCGGCAAGGGGCGGCATAGAAATGTTGTTGTTGTTGTTGTTATTATTATTATTATATTTCCAATAGGTCACAGAGGTAAAAAATTACAATGGTGCTTTCCCAGTTACCTAGCAAAGCATAAAGAAAATGCTCTGAAGGAGGGGAGGAAGATTGGATGATATTCCAGAAAAGAGGAGGGTGGGGTGGGTTGATTTGAATTGCCCTTGGTTTGAGTTGTTGTTATCTGTCAAGTGCCAACTAGTTCTCTCTGGAATGGCAACTAGTTAACTACATTTTAAGCATGCACACATGCTGATTTCTAGAAAAGAGTGTTTTTCTCTGGCTCAGCAATGTATTGATCTTTTCATGATTTTCCCCATGAAAGTTATACCCATGCATTATATACATTAATACTAGATCAATGCATTAGATTTTTTATGCCACTTTTTCTTACGATGAACACAAAGTGGCTTACATCATTCACCTCCTGCTCTCAATCTTATTCCCCACAACAACAACTCTGTGAGGTAGGTCAAGAGTTTGTGACTGGCCAAAAGTCACCTGAGTCCCAGTTCTGCCCTGTTAACCGCTACACCATACTGGCTCTCAGACTGTAAACTCCTCAAGGCAAAGACCTGTATTCCATGAAGTAGCTAATAGCTAATGTAGGCAGAATTTGAAACCATCCTTTCCAGGGACCCTCAGTTCAGAATCTATCGATTTCAGTTAAACAGCTACTTTCATAAACAGATTCTGCAGGTAAATTAAATAATCTCGGTTGATTAGCATGATAAGATAAATACAGTCAATATGCTTTCCCACCATAAAAGGGCATTCGTACTCATTTAACATACAACTGTACCACGTACAGCATCTCTGCAGGGAAAGATAACCCTTCTTTTGCAGTGAGAGAAAAACATCACGACAAATAGTAACATGCACACCAACTAAGTCGGCAATTCACTTTGCACGTGATTACTTAACAGTAAGCTCCATAAATCTCAGTGGAAGTTACTTCCGAGTAAATAAAAGACCGTCTTGTAAGTATTATGACGTAAGGCGAAGCGGAATCCTTAGCCAAATTACAGTAAGACATAATCTTGTCTATGAACATCTGTAACCTCAAGAAGTGAAACTAACATTTCGCCGCGCATTAAACTCTCTCCTCGATCAAATTCAATCCGCTGCTCACCTGGACCCAGAAAGGCCTCTTAAACACCGCGCGGACCACTGAACGGCCCACGCTCCTGCTCAACAGCATGGCACAACTGGCGGCTGCCATCTTGCGGCACGGATAGCCTTACGCATGCGCATATCTCAACTTTCCCCATCTCCTTGAAAGTGTATCATGTTTCTCCTTACCCTGAATTCAAACACTACCTTGACTTGTTTTTACTTATTTTATTCATATTCAATTAATCACTCGAATAGTAATTACAAATCTATGGAAAACATAACTTAGATCAATTTGCGTCAGGTTTTTTTTTTTAATGAAACAAGAAGCTCGCGCAAGCGCAGAGTGCTTCTTAAAATAAATACTGCGACACAGCCGCTGAGTGCGGGGGGGGGGGACGGACAGACAGACAGACAGACAGACAGACAGACAGACACACACACACACACACACACACACACGAGTGTCTTTATTGCGCATGTACACAAGGATTGCTAATATGTTAAGAATCGACGGCGATGCCTAAAGTATACGCATGCTCAGTTCGGGAAGCCATTTTTGCACTCTCATTCGCCCTCCTCACGAAAACTAGGGCGGAGGCCGCGCGCGTGCACATCTCGAGACGCCAACGGTTGGCGCATGCGTGTTCATGAATAGCTAACTGCGTCACAAACGTTTTAGGTACTAAATGTTATTTTTGTTGAAACTACTTAACTGAATTTTAAGATATAATTTAAATCATATTACTTGTTTTAAATTTTGAGTGAGATTTCATGGGCAATGGTGACGTCATTGGGTGGGGGGTTCGTGCTCTCGGCTTTGTTCTTTATCCGCAGCGCGCGACGATGGGAGAGGACGTTGGGAAGAGGGAGTGGCCTCGTATAAAAGGTTCCGCGCGCGTCCACATCGGCCATTCTGGGGTCTGTTTAAAGGTGAGTACTGTGTCTGTGGGAACGTTATTGTGGGGAACGGATTGGGAGGGAAGAAAACGGCATAACGTTAGTATTATTTCTATTTTCTCCCTTCCCAGAATACGTTGTAGCTGATCTTTATAAAAAGTAAATATTGGTTTGCCTATACTGAAAGTAAATTGACTCCAGTAGTGACGTAGTTTAGTTGTCCCTTAAAAAAAAATCGAGAAGAAAAAGAAGATAAAATCTGAATTAACATTTTCCATTAGCGTGTATTTTAAAATTTCTTACGAATCTTTTTCCCCACCCCTCACCTTGAGATGTTAAGAGTTCTGATAAATCTTGCGAAGACTTGATTACATAAGCGCTTAACTTTATAACTAAGCCCTTTTTGGATTTAATTTTTAAAAACTTAACTTTGTAATTTTTTCCCCCTCCTACAGGTTTGCTTTGGTCTTGAGACACCGTTGAACTTCCGCGAAACAAAGAAAAATCCCCCCACAGTTGAACCTCTGAGACGACACACAAAAAAGCCAGCTACATTTCTGATCGTCTGTATCGGGAAGCTGTTAAAATTCTTTGTGACCTGAAGGAGAACAACTGCCACTAAAAACATAAAAAACCAAAATATTTAGCAACAACTTTCCCCGATTTTTTTTTATCAAGCAGCTTTTTGTTACTTATTAACCATCAAAAAGTTGCTAGTTTTTTTAAAATATGAGCAAAATCAAATTCATTTTTTTCTTTAAAAACACAGCTTAATCCAAAAAAAGATAAACCTTGAGGCGCTGTCGACGAGAAAATTAATTGGATAGTAAGTGTCGTATTTTCAACCAACTGACCAAAAAAAAGAAAGAAAATTCGTCCGTGTTGAAGTGAGATAATGGCACGAAGAAAAGACAAAAAAAGGAGGGGAAGTGGGATTTTGTTTGAGGTGTTAACCCTTAAGACGCAGGCATTTTGCCACCAAAAATGCATATTTATAAGGAGTATGATGGTCTCTAGAAAATCCATCTTCTCCAGGACTGTCAAGGGTTAATGAGCTCCCACATAATAGATGGTGGTGACTGAGCCATAAAGTACTACTTCTTTGTGTGGGAGACGTGGAAATTGACCTAAATAAGCAATCTGTACATAAAGATTGCAGGGTAAGCATTAAAGGGACAAAAAAAGAAAACCCAACTGGGAAATAGCCAGCAATGAGACATTTTAAAATATAGGATGATCTGTCATAGCCTCGTCTATATTTCTAAATTTGTCAATGTTAAAAAGGGTTGTGTTTTTTAAAACTTGAAGGTTTTATATAATGTATATGTAGGTATGTAATACTGAAAGAAAAGGCAATCTAAGAATAAAGATTGCAAAATGGCTTGAGAAACTTTTTTTAAAACTCCAATTTTTGAAAAGCCTTCATTAATAGAAAATAGAGATCTGATCAACTCAAATGAGGTCTAATGTGCTTTTAAAATGTTCATCCTATCTTCCCCCCTCGCTGCAATATGGCGGTGTTGTTCTATCTTTTGTCCTTGACTAGCAGCATTGTATCTTTATTTTACAGGATGTTTCCTTTTTTTATTCATCTCCTACCTCCCCCATGTGTGGAGGAGGAAGCAAGCGGGGGGGGGGGATCGTATTAACCCTATAGCGGTGAATAGTGAATAATGAGAAGTTCTTGAGTCTCCGGCATGCCAAGAAATGCCTCTTCTCCCCTGTCCCCCTAACGTATGTTAAATAGGTTCTAGTTAATAGAACTGACATAAAATGATAAAAATGTGTATGTAATGGGGCTTTTAATGCTATAGTTTACTCTTAAATAGATTCTAAAGCCTCTTGCTGTATTTTTTCTAATCGCCTGTGCTTCTAAAATGGCGTCACTGCCTTTCTCCTTTTCTGCACAAGAACCCACAAGGCTTTCTGGGCAGGCAGCTGATGTCAGCAGCTTGTAGCAAACTCCTCCCCCTGAATAGCTTGTGTTTGGTGCCCAGAGCATGCATCATGGAATGGAGGGAAGAAGAGGTGGGGGAGGAGAGAACTGACTTACCCTTCCCCCTCATCACCTTTTCAAAATGATCTAACAATTCCACTCCTACCATCTATAGGTCCTGCCTGATACAAGTGCAAAGTGATCATAAATCCACCAAGGTTTTTTTCTAGGTTTCAACATCACATGAGAGCTTTGGATTTCAGTGTTCTCTCCATGTTTGTTGTATTTGTATTTCAGTCAAATCTGTTAAGTACCTGTATTAGCATTAGGCAGGCAAACTGTTTTGTGTCCTCTTTTCCTTCTCTTTCTCCTTTCTCCCCATCTTATAGGTCTCAAGGTGGGATGGGACAGGGAAGCATGTTTCCTTGTTAAATCAAAAATGATTGTTAGGAGATGAAATGCTACCACTGGATCCCACAGGTTTAGCAAGTGTCAATGATACTTGCTAGAACTGAAGAAAATGGTTTGGGGAGATGGGAGTATGTATTTTTTCTGGCCACATGCACACAAAAGGGGCTGGGGGGGAATCTTGTATTAATTTACCACATTCCACAGTTCCTGTACAATGTACTAGGAAAGAAGTGATCATTAGGAAAAAAGGGAATCCAGCACTTGTATTACCTCATCAAAGGGAGGGAAACAGCCACAATTCCACCTGGTAAGCAAAATCTTTCTGGTATTAATTACATTTCACAAACTTCATTTCTGTTCCGGACCACTTTGTTTTTTTTATTTTTTGCTGCTGTTCTCTTCCATTGTCAACGCCATGAAGTGACACCTGATGCATGCAGGCTGTTAAGGGTGATAATGTTTGCCAATCTGTTAAGGGACACTAGTTAACGCTTTTTAAAAGTTGGTTAATTCCTCAAACGAGGAGTCTGGTTTCTTAAATGGGTCTGCATGAACATCAAATAGCATTTTAAGAAATGCTGCCTTTATGACTTCTCTGTTAAGTGCTGGTTCTTGTACCATGGGGAATGTTTCACAAAACAATGTCTTCATGTACATCTCCGGTGGTAGCATTTCATAATGCTCTCCCTACCTCCAGTAAAGTAGTGATTCAGTTAAGGCCATAAAGCGTGATAAGCACTGATCGGTGCACCTGTTGGTTCATACTGAAGAATAACTCGGGGTGCTCTACTCAGAACAAAGTTGCTATAAGCTAAACTTAAATTGGTGGAGAGTAGAACTAGACAAATGTGTATAAAACAGCACCCTTACCAAAGAAAACTTGGTAAAAGACCCATTTCATCTCAAATGTGGGTATTTGCTGTACAGATCATGCAGTTGTAGTGAAGTATAAACAGAAGTGTACATAGGTTACAATAGACAGCCTATAACTACAGGGTAATTGGCAGCATAAATGTAAGACTTAAGCACAACCTAAAATGCATTTTAGGTTGAACTAGTATCAGTTCATATGACTTCAGTAAATTTACATTGTAGACTATGTTTGAACTAAATGAATAGTTAAGATTCCATTTTTGAAGTTCAGATTTGAGACGGAGTGACAGCACAGGCTTAGCTTGCAAATCATAAAGTTATTGAAAGATGTAGGCTCATGCATAGCTATTATTAAATCTATTTGAAGAATTCTTAATTTTAAGGAAAAACAATGCATTTAGAATCTTGGGTTGCTTAGGATTCTGTATTTTTAATTCTGGAAGCCTGACAAAAAACTGCTCTTTAGTTAAGCAGTTTTATGGATGTGTGCTGTCACAGTCTTCAGTGTTGATGCTATACTTGCATTATTATGTCAGCCAATAATTTGGTGAAGCAGTGAAATGTCACAAGATCTGGGGCAGGCTAGTTAAGCTCTCTTGTGGGGAGGGGGGCAAAAACAAAGCTGGTCCTGCTGTTTACATGGTGTCGTTCCCAAAAGAAAGCAGAAAGGGGGGATTGACCTAAAATCTTGTCCTGAATTGGATGATGGTTCATCCTGCAGTCTGGTCCCCAGCTTGCTGCACATTATATAAGGGCAGAAGTATTCGCCTGTGAGAATATCAGTAGTTTTCAGTTCATACTACCAAAGAATAGATTATTCCTGGTTATACTTAAACTGGAAATTTCATGAACCAATTTCCATGTAAGTTGTAACTATTTGTGCAAACTGAAAACCTGAGTGATTCACTCTTTTAAAAGTAGTTCAAGTAGCTTATGTTTTTTTCAGGAAAATGAGTTTTGGGCATTTTGGTTTCTTACTGCCAGAAATTAATATGAAAGTTGTTGCCTCCGCTGTTGTGGTCATAATAACCTGTTCTAATTACCTATGTGAAAATGAATCTTTAAGTGGGATTTACCTCCAAGCCCATTTTTGAGGATTGCAGCCAAATATGTCTGCTGCTTCAAAATTTTGGCACGTATACCAATTTAGAGGCTAGCATCAAAAAAGCTCTGCTGGATTCCTTTGTCTCAATTTCTTAAAAACAAATATAAGAGTCCAGCAAGAAGATACTGATAAGGTTTGGCTTTTACGACTTCCATTAATTTAAGTACAAAGTGAGAACTTATTTTTTGGGACCCCATCTTCTTGGAATTCAGACCTCAAGTGGAATTGCTTATCTGCTACATTTATTTTCTTAATACTTGCTAATGGGGAAGAAATCTTGGTAGGCCTTCAACACAGTAGTATAATGAAACTGAATCCTTTTCAGTGAAATAGGTATACTTTCTTGGGAAAGAGGATGATAGTCTGAAAGCTTGCAATGGCAACTGTCAGTCCATAACAATTCCCTTGGGATCACATTTTAAAAACATTTTTCTAACATATATTAATAGAATTGTAGGATATGAAGAGGTCTGTTTTCATTGGATTAAAATCCTGATGCCATTCTCTAAACTGTAAGTACCAAATGATTCTCCATGGTGTCCAATCTTGGAGAATTCATTTTTAGGTTAATTGGAACACTTGCAGGGCAAGCTAATGCTAAATACTCAGTAGACATACTTAGCTTGTGCTTCCAGTACTGCTATTTGTATCTTTTCCCCATTTTCCTGTGTTTGTGTTCAATCACTCATCCAGGACTTGAGGCTTTGTTGTATAGCCTACATGTTCTTCTGGAAGTCAAAACTGGTATTCATAATTGTTACACAGGATTCTTTTACGATAAGCAAAACAATATAATAGGAACAATCGGCTATAGGTGAGTGGTATGTAACAGTAATACCCTTCTGTTCAACGGTGGTTAACACGCAAGGTGTTCTGAAAGGATTGTCTCATTGGGAACAGCTTGAGATTCCTTGCATCATAACTTTCTTCCCCAAATTTACTTCTGCTTTAGAACTGAACTAGAAATTTGAGTATTTTAACTTAATACAATGTATAACGGGGATGAAACATTCATTATTAACTTTCAGGTAGCCAAATTAAAATTGTTACCTCAGACAGTGTATAGTAAGCTACAGTTTCTGTATTGCAAGTTGGATTTTGTTGAACTTAATTGCTTACATTTGGCTGACACTTCTGATTAAAGTGGTGTTGGCAGCTAACCTTGTTTAAATGCTTGCTCCCCATTTAAGGGTTTGACATTTGAAGTATGAAAATGGCATATATGTTTAATTGCATTAATGTTGGTGTATGATAAGGCTGATTGTTTAACACCAAAGCCTCTAAATATAAAAAGTTACTGTAAAAAAAGTGCTGAGACTTGCAGTCTATGTGTTGAACAAATAGCTTCTAGTACTTTGGCCCCCATTCCAAGTAATCCTGGAATGGGGGCCGAAAGTTAAAAACTTGGAACTTCTTAGATGTGTGTATACTTTTAAAAAGCCCCTGAGTTAGAAGCAGTATAACTAATACACAGAAGGTGTTCTTTAAAAGTAACTCTACG